GCAGAAGTTTCAGTTCTGGATCCTCACCGCTAGATGCCTTTAAATGCCTTTACACACTGGTCCTTGAAAAGAAAAAACTCTGGCTTAACGCGACTGGTGGCTTCATTCTTCTAACCACTTCATCCTCTTGAGGGTCGCAGGGGGGCTGGAGCCTATCCCAGCTGACATCGGGCGAGAGGCAGGGTACACCCTGGACAGGTCGCCAGACTATCGCAGGGCTGACACATATAGACAGACAACCACTCACGCTCACATTCACACCTACGGACAATTTAGAATCACCAATTAACCTAATCCCCAACCTGCATGTCTTTGGACTGTGGGAGGAAGCCGGAGTGCCCGGAGAGAACCCATGCTGACACGGGGAGAACATGCAAACTCCGCACAGAAGGGCTCCCGCACCCGGGATCGAACCGGCAACCCTCTTGCTGTGAGGCGAGAGTGCTAACCACCACACCACCGTGCCGCCCCGACTGGTGACTTGCTGGTGCAAAAAAAAAAAAAAAAAAGTAACCATCTTTTTCCCACAGAGCCCTGCCTATTTCAAATCACCGCCAGAAGCATAGACAAGAACAGATATGCACAAATCTCATATAATAACCAAAACAGGTCTAACATCTGCAGAGAATGTAGTCATGTAAGACCTTAAGGGATGGGAAATGATAAGATTTTATTGATACCAGTGCCATTATCAATTCTGCTTATCAGTCTGATTCTCTATTAATTTCCTTTTAGATTCTTGATCAAATTTCTTTGTTGTTTTATTATCGCTGAACACAGTGTAGATGAAATGAGAGAATGTTTGCATGCACAGCATTCGTTTCCATTTATCCTTGGTAACAGACTTGCTGCTTGGTCAGGAAGCAGTGGCACTTGTGCGTAGAGTGTCAAAAACATGGCACTCGTGGAGGTTAAGCCTGTGTGGCATAGAAAGCTGTTTACTTAAAGTGATAATTTTATAGACATTACAGCAGTTGTCTGTAGATGTTTATCTATAATATAGGTGACAACTGAACTATTCTGTGCAGCACAGGTAGGTTTGAGTAAATAGTTCAAGTTCAGCTAAATTATTCTGACTGGTTCTCAACTGAAACCATTTCTCGATTCCCATCGGTACACCCCATTAATCATAATGAGAAGCAGACTGAGAAAATGAGTTTTCAGGGTCTTTAAAATCTGAGATCTGCTGACTCACTTTATTCCCCGGTGCCTCACAGTATGCCAAGCTGGCCATTTCTCTGCGGGTACCTGGAGGAGGGGGAAAGAAGAAGAAGGCTGCAGCTGCTCCACAAGGCGGCGCTAGCGGGGCGCCAGCCGGTGCTGATGACGAGGATGATTATGAGGGAGGGCTGTGTTAGCCTTCAGCCTCCAGAGTGCCGACTCTACCCATCTGCTGCTCCAACACTGCACCCTCTGTGTACGAGTTAAAAACCTTGACAAACACCTTCAGCTCTGATGCCCAGATGTGTGGCTGTTTAATCCTTATTGTGCAAGAAATCATAAAAAAAAGCTCTTAAAAAAACAACAAAAAACACAGTTAGAGTTGGTGTTGCAGAGGAGTCGCCCCGAGTTCAAGCAGCCTTTTTAATTTGTGTTTCTTTGAGGTGGAACCTCAGTGTAATGAAATATCTTCAGTGTCCAATAATGTATGAAAGCCTGTTGTATGTAAATGTTCGATTATTTCTCGTCTCTGTGAAGCTGTACATTTTGCTCTTATTGTGTGTGATAGCGTTGTAAGATTGCTATAGGCATATTAAAATCAGAAATACTCTATATGTATGGAATGAGTTGATCGGTGTATAGGTGTTTATTTGTACAGAGTTAAATTATTCAGTATTCATGGCTGCAGCCTGTTGAAAATGTTACTGGAACAATATGCAATCAGTTTGTTAATGCATGTTTGGAATAACGCAAAGGTAAATCAAAGATTTCTGAATATTAATGCCTATAAATGATTGACACTATTATCTTCATTATTCAAGTTGAGAAAATGTCAGGAGCAGCACACTTCCTGATGCTGCAGCTTTTAACCAACTGTAGACTGTTTTTTTCAAGGTGTGTGTGTGTGTGTGTGTGTGTGTGTGTGTGTGTTATCTTCCACCTTAAACCCAAAAAAAATAGTCATGGCTGTGTGTTTAATTCAGTGACCACAGTACAATCCTCTAATTAAAGGGACTAAAACATGAATAAGGGACCATGTATTGATGTTTTCGGTGCATTTCCCCCATTGATTTCCTCTTTAATGCTGTATTTGTGATTAAGCTCATCCCGTAAATGTGAGACGCCCACGATTAGGGACAGAATAATTTATATGCCACTTAAAATTACTCTGACACCACATAACTTAACGGTGATAAAGGGATTGTTTACATTTTTTTTTTATTTGTGCCGTTGCCCAATTCTTGTGTATTCCTCTAAAGCATATCTCCAAACTTTGCACATGCATCAATAAACATTTCCATTACCTGGCATTTTATGGTCTTTGTACATTTTCTAATACGAGTACGCAGACTGAGTTTCTATACCAGTGGGACTAACAGCGAAATGGCCTCTGACAGACATGAAATGACTGTGTAGCTTCCTCCCAAGACCTATTTATCTTTGATGAGGCTACTGTAATGCTCTCTCCCTGTTAGGTGATATTTAATGCACACACACACGCACACACACACACACACACACACACACACACACACACACATACTTTTGTGATGCCCTCCCGTTCTGAATGTAATGTGCATTAGCAAGATCAAACTGGACTTGAGTGTACATAAATGTTGCCATTGCTAAAAATAAAAATGTCTGGGTGGGTTAATAACTCAAAATGTAGCTTAAAGTCATGTTTACAGTATTTATGGAAGACTTTAATGGTTCATGGTACTATCATGATCAAATAGAGCTGAGGCGTCTTTTCTAGAAGGCCTTGAGGGAAGAGGAAAATATGTAGGTTACACTTCGTACTAATCGCCCCTTTGAAACCTGACCCTCTATCATATAACACATGGATTCAAAAAGTATGGGAACTTTATGAGATGGAGCACAAACGTGCACTGATGTTCCAAACCACAAATTTATAAAGGTGTAAACTCCTGTCAGCGCAATCCATCCTACACTTACATTTTCTAATAATCAACTTTTATTTTTCCCCAAACACCTACACACCTACATTTAATCTGTCCATCCCAAGGTTGTTAGACCTGTTTCACAGGACACATTTTGACTTGTCATGGTAGGGAAAGTAAACACATTTTGTTACCAAAGGTTCAGTTCCATTTAAGTGTTGCACTAAGCCATCAAAGCAAGCCAGCATGTACAATTGCAACTAGCCCACCTAAATTGAATGCAGTCGTGATTTTTAATGTTATCTGTTACATCTTTGCTTTTCCTGCCATGGCAAGTCAAAATGTCTGCTGTGAAAAAGATTGAGTCATCACCTCAAACTGGACTCACAATTACAGTATGTGTAACTCTGGCAACGGGCAAGACATTTCTTTTCTCATAATTTAAATCCTTTTTGCACACCATATAGCAATTTGCATATTAAATGCATGCAGATGTTTAAAGGGGCACACTATTTAACTTCTTCACTTTATATCATTCAATTTGTATGTTAGAGCTTGTGTTTTTTTATATTCTGAACAAAAAATTAAGGCAACACTTTTTTGCTCCCATTTTTCACAGATTTAAGTTACAGGTCTAAGACTTTTATTCATGAATAGATAGAAAGGCCAATATTTCTGTCACATTTTGGTTACATATTTGTTTAAATCTGTGTTGTAAGATGTTACAAGTTTTTAGGAAGCGTACCTTTGGCATGCTGACTGCAGATATGTCCGCCAGAGCTGTTGCCTGTGAACTGAATGTTCATTTCACTCAAATAGGCCTTCTCCCATATCGTTTCTGTGGATTTGGCAGTACATCCAACTGCCCTCACACCTACAGACCACATGTAACCACACCAGCTCAGGACCTCCACATCCAGTGTCTCCACCTGCAGGATCCTCTGAGACTAGCCACGCGAACAGCTCATCTGCACCGTCATTGTCCTCACCAGGGTCTTGACCTGACAGCAGTTCATTATTGTAACTGATTTGTGCAGTTGTGAGGCTGGTTGGATGTGCTGCCAATTTCAGGGAAACAATACTGGAGACCTTACATACTGTATCGTAGGCAACTGGACTTGCTTAAGTTTCTTGTAGACATTTCCCTACCATCCAAGAGGCTTCTTCAATTCTTCAGAGCTGAGGGTGAAAGAGGTGAGAGGTGAATCGTCTTCCAGAATCTCAAGCAAACCCAGCTGCCTACGATATAGCACTTACCATGACCTGGATGACTGACAATCTTCACCAACAATCCTGTGGTATCAGCTGTTCAGGGGGTTGGTCTCACACAATGTGACCATCCCAAGGCACACCTGTGTAGTAATGATGCTGATAATCTATCCATCTATCTATCTATCTATCTATCTATCTATCTATCTGTCTATCTGTCTAGATTGATGGTGATGTGTGCATGCACAGGCATGTGTGTCCAGTGTATACCGTACATGCAAATATGTATATGATGGGCTGCACTGATTTAATGTACCTCCAACTCTTAATATTCATGTGATTATTCCCCTATTGTCATTACTTATATCCCCTATTTATTATATATTGTATTTATTTTATTCATTTTCTGAAGCACTTATTCTCCTTTACTGTCCATTCACACTGTGTATTAGAGCGGTGTAACTTTGCACTATTGTTGCACCTTCAATAAAAAATGTGAGCAAACAAAAACAGAGAGAGAAACTGATATTTTCAAATTAAAATAAAGTATAAGTAAAAGAAATAGGACTAATGACAGAGTTGGTTGGTGATGGAGGCCATCTTCAGATCACAGGGTCTCATCTTCCGTCAGCTGCAGCTGTCGTTGAAACACTGTTGACCGACACACAGATTCTGTGCCTGCTCACTCACAGTCCTTCTGCACAAGCAAACTGCAGCTGAATGCAAAACTCGACACCTTTCCAGATGTTTTATTTGCAGATCTCTGGACCTCTATCATACCACATTGCCTTAAACATACAGGTACAATTTCACATTTCAATCCACCGTGACCTGACCCTCTTCAACTTTTATGTACATGTAATGAAAATTAGTCATGGCAATAATGAAGTTTTTTTTTTTCTATCATGCTACAATGTCCTCTAATGCATAGTTTGGACCAAAGGGCTTCGTGTTTCAGCCCTTCACGTGAGGAATCTTTTTTTGTGTGTCTGCTCGTTTCTTCCTTGATGACCGGATGCACGCGACGTGCCACAGTGTTCATCAGTATGAATGTTAAAAACAGCGAGAGGTTCACAAGTGATGTGCAAGAATCTACCACCTAATGCACGTTACCCTGATTCAGAAACAGCCCTCTGCTGGTCTCGACTCTAGCCAACCTGTAGATGATTCAGAAACACGGATGATTGGCAATAAATCTCTGTGAAGGAAACGGTCCACAGCGATAAATTTACTTTCATATTACAGCCTTGAACTGTTTCCCTGTGCAGTACACGTACTCAGTATCAGTCCATCTGAACAATATCCACATTAAATTTCATGCCATTTAAATAGTTCATCTTTGCTACAGCCTCATATTCTTTTAGATCCATCAAAGCTTACATATTGTAACATATGACTCATACAATGAATATCTGTGAAAACAGGTCTTCCTGAGAAAGATATGTATGTAGTTGGTAACAGTTCTTCTCATACAAACAAAATAAAGCGAGTAAAGATTGTCTGATAATGTTTGCTGAGCTGTGTCTCTCAGCGGGCTCCCATGTGGCCTCTGACCTTTAAAAAAAATAAAATAAAAAAGTTGTTTTTTAATGTTCATGTTTCTTGGTCAGAACCGGCCTTTTTCCCCTCGATCCACATCCTTTGAAAACTTGGAGGAACGAGAGCTCAATATTGCACAGTCCCACAGTCCAAGTGTTCCAGTCGGGAGAAAATATGAGAGTGTGCTCATGTGGTCGTTATTGTGCACTTTTTTGGTGGTGGGAAGCCCTTAAAGATTAATGTTGCGGTCTGTTTCTCTCCGCCTACAGTGCGATTGTGAAAATGTTAGAGGCAGAGCGTGAAGAGCGATGAGGATTCTGGGCATTGTGTTTAAAAACATACCGTTATAATAAGTATAAGACTTTTTATAACTTAGGAAAATTGTCCTATAAGATTTCTCCCCCTCCAACTGGACACCAGCTGCTTATTTTACCCACTGGATACCAAGCTGAACCAGGTTACGCGAGATAAATACAGCACCAGCAAATCTGTCCTCAATAGTTCATAATATGACTGCAATCGTTGTTTTTCAACAGTAAACAGTAGAAAATACCAGTTTATATCTCAAGCATTTTAGCATGGAGCTGCATCACTGCCGTCAGAGCTCAGTTGAAAAGGACACAGTTGGTCCTCAGCTGACTTTGTGCTCCCTCAGCAGGTGAATTGGCTGAAATAGCTGCTCAGACCGTCAGAGCGACCGCCCAGTTTTTCTGAATGAGCGGCTCCTGTTCGAAAAAAGCTCCAGGCTTCGTTAGTTAACATCCCCCATTACTGCGTTTTCTCTCTGGTCCACTTGATCATAGTCTCTGGAGAGCGGTAGAGGAAGATGAGTTTGGCGTACATGTCCTCCTCCAGGTCCAGCTCCCCGGTCTCTCGGACCAGGAAGATGTCGGTGCACAGCTTGAGGATGCGGTCCACGTTGGGCAGCTCCTCAAACATGATGGTGTGGGAAATGCCGCTGAAAAACTCACGCACAAACTTGCCGATGACCAGGACCACAGAGGCGTACAAGCCCATGATCCTAGACAGGAAAGAGAGAAAGACAATCAGGCAATGTGTAAAAAATTCAAATGCTACTTCTCTAGGTACTTAAAAGGTGTACGGAGGCTGTGAGCCAGATTTGCACCTACAGGAGACGCTGTGAGCACATCTCTCAAACAGGAGGCGCCCACAGGTATCATTAGTAAGAGTTGAAGGAAATCTCCACCATCAGATACTCTTTGACCCTGTTGGCATTTGGTCTTAAAATGTGTTTCAGTGATCTGAACACAAGTGGACAGAATTCTAAGGGCAACACCCACAGTTACTACGTCCAATCAGGACTAGATCTAAGAAAAGACATAAGCGTGAGGAAGGAGGTGAGACAAGATATGGTGTGAGACAGGAAGCTAATGCGGACAAGTCAGAAATGAAGCATGAGGAATTTTGCTTTTGTAGGGATCAGGTAACGTTCTTGAACTTTAAGGCAAATGGTAATAATTGTACTGCTGGAATAGAAAGGCATAAAATCATTAAGGACATATCATAGATGCAGCAATGAGATTTCTGGGTGTTGTGAAAGTTTCTGTAGAAATTGTGCAGCAGCAGTTGAGAGAAGCTTGGAAAGTGTGAATTGGTGGGAACAGGTTATTATTATTTTATCCATAGTGATCCAAGTGTCCTGAAGCCCCAACATAAAAAGTTGTTTGGAAAAACGTCATTTGAACGTTTTTAGCCTATTGTAGCCTGTAGCTCTGACTGCTTCTCTGTGCACCGCACTCGTTTTTCCAAACAACTTTTTATGTTGGGGCTTTAGGACACTTGGATCACTACAGACGAGCAGTATGGAGATATTTTGTGGTTTCAATTATGTGTTTTTGGACGTTTGAATCTGGACGCCGTAAGCCTCAATTAGATGGAGTTGTGTTGCTACCCCCTCTCCCCTTGGATCTCCACAAGTGTTGTGAGGACTCTAAAACTTCACCTGAGCCTCCATCAGCATATGGGTGAGTAGATAATGGCTGAATTTTCAGCCATTGTAATTGTAATTTAAGATTGTAATTTAACTTCAGAAGTTGGAATTATGCAAAATTTTGGATGCCATTAAAAAACAAAGAAGAAGGAGAAGAGGAAGAAGTCTTTACGTCTACACTCTCTCCAGTCACGCAAGCGGGTGTGTCAGTACAGCTGGAGATATCGCTGTTAGCAACATGTCTCCTTCCACAGGACAAAACAATTGCCAGTTACACAACACTTTGCCCAAATGGACGTAAAATGGGCAAATTATAGAGCATTAGCCCGCTGTCACCAAAACGACCACCACATCCTGCACTGATGACGCATCTTCCTGCTCCGTCCTTGATGGGGATGCATCAGGACGCATTAGTGTTCACACTACAAAAGACGTGGTCAGATGTGCCCCAGACAACCTCAGCAAATGGTTTGAGTGATCGGATTGCAATGCATCTTGGTGGCTGTCCACTTAGTGATCACACATTTTAAAACAAAAAGTAAACAAGGTCTTTAAAGGTGCTGTATCCGCCCCCCTCCCCTACAGATTTGAGGTTGCTGGACAGCGGCACGCTGGAGACTGATTTGTTTGCCCACGGGCAGCTGCTGTGGCAGGGTCACGTCGCCACGTCCTTGATCTTCGGTTTTCCAGCGGACCATTCGAGCAGCTTCTCTGCTGCTAAAGCTGCTGCTGGGATACAGCTGAGGAGAAGCCGGCTGCTAATGCTATGTACCGGGACACTGCTAATGCTGCTTGCCGTGCTGCTGTAGCTCAGTCATAACTGTAACTGATTAAGACACTGTACTGACTGCGTGACTGGTAGACGGCGGTGGGTGGCACAACAGGCCAAAACGCAAAATGTGAATTTTGAATGTGTTTTAAATGTGAATATTCTGGCTGTACTATTGTTGTCGGTGAGATCACTATGTTATATGAACATTATTCCTTAGTCTCTGTGACATATTAGGAGGATTTTACTACTATATGCTTTAGATTTCTTACATATAGCTCCTTTAACTCTTATATTATAATTCCCAACATGTGACGCAACATTTGATTTGTTTGGTGCCTTGTCTGCTTCCACTTCATTTCAGACCCCAATTACAATCAACAGTCCAACTTATTAACTGGTCTTTTAGGTTTTTTCCCATCTATATGCACACACATAGGAGCAGGCAACATGAGGCACCTTCTGCTCACATATAAGCTCTAACAGTTATAGGTAGAAAGTGTTAGAAAACTACTCCACTGTTTCCACTGTACTTTTTTATACTGTCACCTGACCAGAAACTTACAAGGATAAAGTTTGAGGTTCATTATTGATTACTGTTAAACAGAAGTTTGTGCAAGGGCTTATTCTTTTGCTACATCTCATGCCTTCATCAGCAGACAGAGTTCACTCAGTTGTCACTGATGGTTACCACAAGACCTGATTTACTTTAATGGAAAATTTCCAGTAAGAGGACAAACTTTGGAATTTTGTCTAAAGCATGATCTGCCAACCAGGCCATACACAAGGTGCATCTCTACTGAAATGTGATCCCATTCGCTCTTTTAACTTGTGCACTGTCATTTAGTCCTTTTTGCATCTTCTCACATTATTGGCTGCTGCTTCATAACTGTTACATCTACGGATGGTTCTGGTAATCTGTGGTTTCTGGCTGTGAAGTGATTTAACTGTCCACACATCTTGACCTCAACAAAACAGCTGTATGGTCACTTCTCCTGAAGTAGCTGACGCACCAGTCCTTCTTCACTGTAAAGCCCACACCTCCTCCTCTTCTTCTTTTACCAGAGTTGTCTGCACTGTAGGATCAGCATATAGAAAAGGGCCTCCTTGTTGAATGGTGCTGTCCAGGATTTAGCCAAGTTCCTGATATCCTGTTGGAAACTGATGCTGCACGGATGTCATCCAGTTTATTTTCCAACGCCTGTACAATAGTTAGCAGGATGCTAGTCCAGCTGCTGCCTAACTTCTCTATCTTTCCTCAATGTTTACTCATGTTTAAAATTGAAAACCTCAACACAGCTAACCAGCAGAAGTAGCGGGGGATCAGAGTTTACAGGTCAGTGAGTCGATTTCCCGTCCCAATGAGTGTCTCGCAGCCACACGCTACCACCGTCTAAATTTAGCTGGGGCAGAGAGGCGACTGGAAACATTCATGCCCACATCACCAGTTGTTCTTGCTAAGTACAAATGTACTTATCATTTGTATTAAATGTTCAGTATTTGATGAAAGAACAACAGGGAACTTAAAAGCCTTTCACATCAAGTTCCCAGGCCTGGATCCGAGTGCACTTATATACAAAGTTCAGTTCATGTGATTAGTGTGTAAAGACCAACTGCACCAAAACAGGACACAAGTAGCATTCAGAAAGTAAAGTTGCAAAGGCAATTCTCAGTGCTCCTAGTCTCAGTCTTTGAAGTAGTCTCCAAAATACAATCAACAGAAGGCATACTGTGAAGGGTGACTCCACTGAATGGGCTGTGGATCTTGAGATTGGCGTGATGCAAGCGTACCCAGGAACAACATTACTAATGTGAAAGCTGTGGAGCAGAGAAGAGGGGGGCAATCGTACTTGGGCATAATACGAATCAATTGTACCTAATAACAGAACACTCTGAGCGTAAAAGAGCAAGAAGCTAATGATTTGATTATCATAACTGAGTGAGGCTCATACTCTCATACTACTTGTTGTATTTCTGAGGATGCAAAATTATCCAGTAATTACAAGCAAAAACCAAATATTAGACCTTTTTTAATCCGCATCACGAATAACCACATACCCATATCCTGCCAGAAAGCCCAAACTGGGCGGGCTGACTTGGTCACTGAACACGTAGAGATCCAGGCCAGACTCATTCTTATTTGAAGCCTTTTTTAAGGGTCCGGGCTCTAACTGGTTGACGATCCACCATTCCTGAGTCTGATCCGCGACGTTCTTACTTCGCAAGGTCAGTGATATGTTGAACAGCTTTTCATCTACAAAGATGAACAAAGAAATTATGAAATTTAATCAGAATAAAAAATGGGCAAATAAAAATCCATATCTCTTATCTGCAGTAACAAAACATTGTCAGTAAACAGGGAAGCTTAACATGTGTACAATCAGATGTGAATAAGAAAATTATATTTATCTAAAATATTTCACCAATGTCAGACTTGTGCTAACTTGTATTAATATACATGTATCCATTTTGGACAACAAACATTTTAAAGCCCCTATGTGTGGAATTATATTCTTCATAACATTCATTCATATCTGATACTGGGCATTTTTTGATACTGCTACTAGGGACCACCAAAGTATAAAATTCTGAATGACTCAAAGCTTTGTATTCCTGCAAGCACTTTTAAGAACGGTGGAATTTACACTTCAAATATAGGCTCTTAAGTTTCCTTCGCTGTCACCATATAAAGAAAAACTGTGCAGAAAGTCACAGCCAGTGCAGTTTGAACAGATGTTGACGTTAACCTTTATAAAGCTGATCAACAGACTTGGCCTCCGAGTCACTGGGGGCTCGAATATAACGAGGGAAGATCTCTCTTAGGATCCTGCAGAGGAAAAGACACTGTTACTGCAACAACACACAGTTTGTCCTACTTAGTTTCTTAATATGTTGGAGCATAACAGTAAAATGATTAAACATTTGGGTACCACTTTATTTGGATTTTCCACCTTCAGATAGTTTACAGAGTATTTGTAACACTTCAACAGCTCATTAGTTGAGATTCAACAATTTGTCTGTTTCGCTTTGTCTATAGATGTTTATAATGTGACAATTCACTGCGTATTCTCATAATGATTTAGTCAAGCTTGAACCATTCGCTCAGTCTTGGTTGAGTGTATAAAATACTCTCAATATGTAGGTATTGGGCTTGTCACGATACCAGAATTTCAGTAGTCAATACCAATACCAGTGAATTTCCACGATTCTCGATACTCATTCGACACCACGATAAAAATCAAAAAACAGATGGTGTGACTGGCCGCGCACATATGAGTGATCGATGGTGACAATGTGTGTGTCGGTTTCGTCGAGTGTACCAAGTGTAGCGCGATGCTGGTATATGACAGCAAAAAGGAAAGAAAGACGAGAGTCAGCCTTCAATGTCCACGTTCATATCCTTAAAAAAAGTTGGGTTTCGGGCCGGGCTCGGGCTCATAATTACGGGCCGGACTCGGACAGAACATTCACGGGCGCAGGTGGGGTCGGGCTGGATTTTTTGGGCCCGATCAAAGCTCTAGCACTTGTAGAAGCCATTGTTTCTAGCAAAGACGATGGAGGACAGGCGTTCTTCTTTGGCACTCGTCCTCTGCACAGACTACCTCATGTATACTGCCCCCATCAGTTCCGACACGGCCCGCTGAGGGCAAAGTTGTATCCGGTACTTGCGGTACCGAAAAATAACAGGTATCAACGTATTTTTTGCGTGTTAGCATCGACTTGGTACCGAAGTATTGATTCTCATGACAACCCTAGTAGGTATGGTCATGAATTGTCACTTATACTCTATAGATAATCTGTTGAGTATCTACAGCCATCCATCCATTTTCATCCACTTATGAAAATAAGCTGTAGGGGCAGCAGACCAAGTAAAGCACCCTAGGCGTTCCCAGGCCTCACCTCTAACAGGAGGCATCCTGATCAGACGCCCAAACCACCTCAACTGACCCCTCTTGACATGAAGGAGAAGCTGCCCTACTCCGAGCTCCCTCCGGATGTCCGAGTTCCTTTTCCTATCTCTAAGACTGAGTCCAGCCACCCCACGAAGAAAGCTCATTTGTGATCTCATTCTTTCAGTCACTACCCAGAGCTCATGACGATAGGTGAGGGTTGGGAGGTGGACAGACCAGTAAATCAAACGCTTAGCCTTCTGGCTCCCTCTTTACCACGACAGTCGAGCACAGTGCACGCATCACTGCTCTATTCACTTGTGAGGGTAAAATGGAGCATGAGATGTGAATATCTACAGAATAAAGTAAAACAGTTGAATTATTGAATCTCAGCTAATAAGCTGTTGAAATGTTACAAATGCTCTATAAACCATCTGTAGGCAGACCATCCAAAAAACGTGTTAACAAGCTGGTAATAATTTTGTTCAAAGATTTTGTTAACAGACATTGTTTAAATGAGAACATATCAAAAAGAGGAGGAGAGTGTCTCGTCTGTGGCTGACTGATTGAGAGGAGAGGAAGCAGCTGATATACTCACACTGGCTTGTTAACATGCCCTTTTAGGAGCGCTATGAGATCCTTCTTTGTGCTTACATCTAGATTTGTCACTCGTTTTCCTGACGCTACCTCAGCCTTGGCGCCAAAAGTGAGGTTTCTGAGATCACAACAAGAGGAAAAACATTCAGGGATTCATTTTAAGTTGTTTCTTTTACCTCATACCTCAACTGCAGCTGTTTGTAAGAAAAAAAAGTCTTGCAGGATGTTTTATTTTCACAGTGTCAGTTCACAACTGAAAAACAATCCTGATGATTTTTTTTAAATTTCTGCAGGACCTTTTTTTTATGGCAACACATACGTTAAGGGCAAAATGTATGCTACTATGTTGTAATCCCATGAACCAAATATTCGGCATGACCTGGTAACAAGTTATTATAGTTAACTACAACTTAACTCAAACTAGGTGTGAAAAAACATTTAGTTAAGTGAAATAAAAATAAAATCTAGACTTGAGAAAAAAAAGAAACTTGCTGAAATGATGTTGTGTACTCACAAAAATAACTAAAATAAAATACAAATATACAGGAAATGTCTTTTAGTCTTTGTAAATTTGGTCAACTTTGTCAACACAACAAGCATGAGAAGGCACTAACACAGATGTTTATTGTGACTGGGATGTCTACATGACTGGGATGATGTATTATCAACTCTTAAATCTTACCCCTGACAAATACCTCCCATGTTATAATTTTTAAAAAAAAAATATATATATACATATATATATATATATATACACTGAAACAAGTAAAAACTAAACTGAAACAAGCAAACCAACCCTGGAAACTATCTGAAATTAAACTGAATTGCAAACGAAATTAAAAAATAAATAAAGAACTGACGACACAGTGAACAGTTTGTCTTCTTTTGTGCCACAGTTAGATTAGACAACATGAGGGACGGAGATACCTTTGCACAGACCAGGCCACCGTGATGGGGAACTCCTCGTCAGTGCCCAACATCTCTATCAGGTTGTTTCTACTGGGCGGACTGATGGTCCACAGAGAGTTGGAACTGCCTTTCAACTCAGCAATGATCAGGTCTGGTGCTAAGTAGCCCTCCAGCCACTGCAAGGCTTCCTAACCACAGCACAAAACCACACAGCAGTAACATTATTCAAATTTCAATGGAAAAATATGTAACATTTCAGCATTAAAATGTCTTGCACTATGTTATACATTTTATTTAATTGTGTACATTATCCCAAATATTTCCAACAATGTACAAACCCACAGAAATCCTATATTTTATTCAAGGTAACGGTGTGTTTTAACTGATCGACTGTCACAGGAAACACTGGGGGTCTCATTTATAGACATTGTGTAAGTGGATCCTACGCACTGTTTTATAAATGAGACCCCAGATGATATGTCAGAGAGCGAGGAAGGAAGTCAGTGAGCCACTCTATTGTTTACTATTGTTTGTACTCGGACTCGTGATGGAGCGAGATGATTCGTTGCTGTTTGCTGCACGCTCTGTTGCCGCATTTGTCGCCGTCCTGTTAAGCACAAACGCGGCCTGGTTGAACCAAACAACCTAAGAAGATTACCTAACAAGAAGAGGTAAAACGAGGATTAACATTGGAGTGGCATTTCCAAGAGAGAGAGAGAGCTTCATCACATGCTGGGTCTACAGAGAGACGCTGACCTTATCCCTACACATGATTTATGCCTGAGTCACGTCAGATATTTTCACTGGCAGTGATGGTTGTTTGATCCCAAACTACTGCCTGATTTCAAAGCTCTCATAAGAACAAGGATGAATGAACTGATTGGTTCTTGTCATTGTGCATCGGTGTCTAATTTCTTCATGTTACTTTATCTTTGTATATCTGTTGTTGGGCTGTAACTTTTTTTTGTATGCTGCCATCTTGGCCAGGTATCCCTTGAAAAATAGACTGTTTATCCCAATGAGACTGACTTTGTTAAAAATGGGTTAAATAGAATTAAATAAAAAAAAATCTGACATTTTAAAGACTAAACAAATTATTGATTAATAAAAAAGAAAAAAGTTTGTTTCCTGCTTGTACCTGCTAAACATCAGCACGTTTGTGAGCACCTTAGCATGCTAATGTTCTCATTTAGCTCAAATCACAGCATACGTCTCTGTCGGCTACAGTCTCTTCTTTTTTATGTTACAACCAGAGAGCACCAAAAACTAAATTTTTAAATCACATCAGCTTTAAAAATGGGTTTTAGTGAACCTGTATTTACTGCCTGGTCTAAAACTAGGCCATTCCTAAGAGAAAAAGCAAGGCTTGCACTTTTTTAATACTGTGACAACATTATAAAAACAACTGGCATCTTGTTTTTGTATTTTATTTCTTGTACTTACATCGTCTTTCCTGTATAAATCCATAAAGGCTGCATATTGTGCTGTTGAGACATTATGCAGTTGTTTTTGCTGAGCGCTCATGGTGAAGATGGGCTGTGGGAAGAAGACATTGTTTCAGTTATTGTTCTGGATCCCAGTCACTCAATCAAACATTAAACCCTGCAGCCAGAATACTCACACAGCATAGAAAATGTGATAACAGTCTCCTGGTTTCTCAATCCACTCACAGACCACCAGAAATCACACACACTGATCAAAAAGTGCTACCACGAGATGTATAAGATCTACTTAAACTCTTCTCAAAGGAGGCAGGATTTTATTTCGTTGTGAGAGGATGTGGCTTTGGGCAGAGTTCCTCAGTAGAGCTCAAACTTGTTTCTGGCTCAAATGATTTAATAAAAGAAGCTGTGTCCACACCTGAAAGCCAGCCAGGGTGATTTCAAATGACACATCCAGCGGCGTGTTGACAACTCCAGCTACAGACTTCACAAGGGACATGAAGAGCAGCGGGAACCAGACGATACAGATCAGCAGCATTACAATCATCCCTCCCATTCCGTACTTCACCACCTTCTTCTTCTTCTGGCCTCGCGGCTGGGGATACCTCTGCAGAGGGATAGAGGACAGTGACATGTATTATTTAACCCGGATGCAACGTAAAACAGCTTGTCCTCACGAAACGTTGTGTTCCATCTTTATTCCAGCAGATCTGATGCAATGGTAATGGCTACATGTTTTCTTTGCCTGGCCAATAATATGTAAATCCATTAGAATTACGCAATTAACTGGACCAGGGTTATAAAAGTAAAGACGGAGCAAAGACTTACAGGACAGGAGGTACTGGCAGACTGACCCAATAAAAACTGCATGAGTGCATTATTTACCATTGTGAGTCGTATAATAAATATTTTTTGTATACTATTATTTATTGTATGGGCACCACAGACACAATAAATCCTTCTAATATACAGCTCATTGTATAAAGTGAGAGCCCAGCTAATCTTCAGTTTTTAAAAAATGAAATACTTCAACAAATCACAAAGGTAAATTTCAGCATGAATTCCAGCATGACAGACTTTGGCTCTGAGAGTCGTCTTCTTCTTCTCACACAAGACTGATGCCACAATGATAAACACCTTCTCAGACTCTCTCCAGCATTTGAGGATGAAGATGTGAGCATAGATGTCCTCCACACAGATCCAGCTGGACAGAGACAGCGAGGTGTCGGTCCAAACCCAGTCCATCACGGCCCGCAGCTCCGTCAAGAATGGCACCAGACGGAATCTACCAACAACAGACACATTTTTATTTATTATTCTGGCAAAATATGAGACTGAAATAAAATCAGATTCAATATCTTTATTCAGATAATAATACTCAGGAATTTGTTAATTTTGTCCAAGAGAAGTGCAGGAATAAGATGCTATGGCTACAGCACATGTTTTACAGTACTTATATTTGGTATATTCTTTGGTAGGTTCTACTTAAAGACTGAAACAGAGATAAAAACTTATGTCAATTAAAATGATTAAAGAATGACATGACTGAAAACACTGACACTGACGATGTAGTAAGACTAGTGCACATAATACTCTGAAGACATTCAAGCACATCGCCGGGTTAAAATGTTAGAAAATACAATCGTCTGTCAATAGAAGATAAAGATAAAAACAGTATAATTCACACACTAAACAATCAGACTCAATAGTTTTGGTTCCAAAAGAAGAAGAATTAATTAAACTTCCATTCATTTAATGTCTCCTCTGGGGCTGCATGACAGGGGAGAATACTGTTGGAATTTAATTTAGTATTTGTTTTCCAGTCCAGAAAAGTGTAAGTGACCCTTGATCATGTAATGTAATGTATCATTACATGATCAATGTAATCATGTAATTAGGGCTTTAAATATTCAGAAGCCCAGTTTTATGTGGGCCCTCTGCAGCCTACTCTGTGGTTTGATTTAACAATGATTTGTCATCCATAATATGCTCATTTGACATTCCAATTCCGAAAGTGCTAACCTTAGACAAACCTTCTGTTTCTATTGTGAAGTTTGAACTTTGCTAAATCAACATGCTTGTGAGAAGACCGATCATTTCAGCACTAAATGTTGCATTAAGGAACTAAATACTGACATATACAAATGTAAGATGCACAAAAGACACTTAACAAATATCTCTTTTCCACATTTTTGAAACAAATAACTCCAGGTGTAATTCATGCAACAGCAGCTAGCTGTCAGTCCTCGACATAACCAGAGCCTTCGACCTGTTTGCTCAGCTGGAGGAAACGATGGAGTCTCAGTGTAACTCACCCTTGAAACAGGAAGAGGTTGACGTAATTATAGCTCTTGGTGAGGAAGTTGCCCAAAACGCGGGTGGGATAACCACAGCGGATCTGATAGGCTGACAGCCCGAAGTAGATGCACTTGACAAAATACCACATCTGAGCCACTGTGTTCTCGCTGAAACGCCTGCGAGGGGAAGAGAAGTGAGACAGTTTGTAAAACTGAAGGAGAAGGTTTTGTTTTTTTTAATAGACAGCATAAAGACATAAATACCCTACAGATTTTTTAGGCTTTGCAAACAAAATAACTGGATTAAAAAGTAGGACTTAACTAGTTATTGTTGCCAGGGCAATTCAAAATACTTCCATCAAATGAATCAGTGCTGACTATGACTTTAGATCAAAAGCTAAATGTGTCTAACATGACATAAGACTGACTTCTTACTTATCTGTGACTCCTGGCAGGATAAAGAACATCCAGAAGTGGATGCCAAAGACCAGGATGACCTGGAAGATGACTTTGCCCATGACAGACTTTCTGAGGTAGAGGGCACGGTCCACCACCATGGTCCCAAACTGGATCAGTACCATGACCAGGAAAGGTCCCGGCACCTGATCCTCCGACAGGGACGACGTGATGTCTGCAGCTGAATGTTTCTAGAGAGGGATGTAAATAAATGTTAACTTTGTCAGAAGTGATTTTTGTTATGGATTCAAATCTAATTTTAAAACTTACACCAAATGCCCAGAATCCAAAGACAATAATGATGAAGTCGACTGTGTCAGCAAGGAACATCAGGACATAGACGTCTGTGACTGCACTGTACTCTGGATGGATCAAGTTATAGAAGAACTGCCTCATAGGAAGGTAGATCTCCATGAACCTACAAAGAAATACAAGAAAATAGCATTTTTGTGAGCAAATAAACAAGTGAAAATTATCCAGGTGGGTCTTGTTACTGTCATCCTTCACAATAAAACAGTCTATAAAATCTGTCAGCAGCTATGCTCTTCAATCCCAGGACTCATTCAGTTTCTTAGGTCTGCTCTGAAATGGGTTTAATAGTTTTTATGTACAGTACGCTGGTTCCTCTGCCTGGAACATTTCTGCAGTAGATCTAAAATTGAAAGTCTTGGCCCCACTTTGTGAATTCAAGTCATTGCTGCAGTAGTCTCACATTGCCAAACCTATCAAGCTGTGTCAGTGATAGAGAACAATCTGGCTGCATTCATCGCAACTCCACACTACAGGAAAACTGGAATTATTGCCCCACGGTTGTATGCCTCCATGCACCAGTTTCTCTTACAGTTTACATTCATGTCTGTGAATAGATGGATGCTTCACATACATCTTCAACCTGGCAGCACAAAAGATCTATACGATCAGCACTATTTCAAGGTGGGCACCCGAGATTAGTGTCACCAATTCAATATCTGACCAAATGTCTCCCCTTCTGTTCCTGAGCTATGATGTGAATAATGGGCAGAAAAGTATTTCATGCAGAATAATATGATGTCACAGTAGAGCTGACCTTTGACCATTTGGATATAAAATGTTACCACTTCATCATATTATCCTATCAGATATTTGTGTGAAGTTTTGTCATAATTAGCACAAGAATTCTTGAGTTATGGCCAAAAACATGCTTTGTGAGGTCACACTGACCTTTGACCACCAAAATCTAATCAGCTCATTACTGAGACTGAGGGAGCGTTTGTGCCAAATTTGAAGTAATTCCCTCAAGGTGTTCTTGAGATATTGTGTTCACAAGAATGAGACAGACAAGTTCGCAGTGACTTTTGACCACCAAAATCTAATCAGTTCATTGTTGTGTCCAAGTCGATGTTGGTGCCAAATTTGAAGAAATTCACTCAGCGTTCTTGAGATATTGCATTCACAAGAATGGAACTGACGGACAGACAACTCGAAAACATAATGCCTCTGGCCACAGCTATCACCAGCGCTGAGGAATAAAAATGCCCTGGGTTGTTTGGATTTCTTTCTTTTTTTTTTTTTTTTTTTTAAAGATTGTTTTTTGGCTTTTTTTCTTTATTAGATAGGACAGTCTAAGCATGAGGGTGGGAGAGGGAAGGCATGGCACTCAGCAAGGGGATGCAGGCTGGAGTTGAACCTGAGGCCACTGTGGCAATGACACTGCCTTTGTATATGGGACACCTGCTCTACCCACTAAGCCACCTGGCACCGAAGGGCTATTGGTATTTCTTTAAACCAATCACGATAATGTTGGGCGGTGCTAAACCCAGGATGCAACGACGATGCCCTTGCAATATAGTCTCAGGAGGGAACTTGTTTTGGTTGAAAATGTGCATGGATGGCTAAATCCCTGCAAAACAAAATGCCACGTAAAACATTAAAATATGTTTTATATGTATGATTGAGGGCCACACATGATAAGTGCAGTCACCGAAATCGCTTGAACGTAATTCCAGCAATACTCACATGGTGCCACTAGTTGCCACGCAACCAGTCGCTTTCTACAAGTTGTCATCTCTAACATGACAGATGCTTGTTAGGGGGCCCAGTCTGATGCAGTCTCCTGGTAGTCTATTAAATATAAGAGCCACACAAAATGTTTCTAAGGGGCCACCTTTGGCCCGAGGTCCTCACTTTGAGTAATAATGGGCTACATGTTATGACTCCTGCTGCAGAAACTGGGATTTTTCGGATGAAATCTTTGTAATTAAAAAAACTATTCATAATTTTAGAATTGCATTTCTGTTTATTAGATGTTTTTATTGCATATTTTGTGTCCTCTGCTTGATGTTGTTTGTCTGCAACTCATTGTTATTGCTGCTTATCTTGGCCAGAACATGTTTAAAAGGTTAAAGAAATACATGTGAAATACATAAAAGACCTCTCTGAGTTTCAGTTACTGCTGTAGACATAACATCTCAGAAACCACTTGTTCCACCGTGATTAAATTTAGAACAGTAACATGTTTTGGTCTGTTGCAGCACTTACAAAAATTACACTGACTGGCCTGACGGGAATGCTGTAATTAAAGTTCTAAATTTAGACCTTTGAAAGGTTTTAGCTGCTGATATGATTTTCCATTATTTGTCTGGAATACTTGCTGAGCGCACTTCTCATCAGGGCCCTCATAAAGTTACACACTTTTTAATGTATAATCACAGTCACGACTGCTGGCCAGTAAGAAGCTGTGGCTGGAGACAAAAAAAACAAAAACAAACACAAAACAGCTATGCTTTATCGTACCGCTTAATGATGAAAGCTTTTCCTTTGAGGAGCTGCTCCCTCAGTTTCTCCATGATCATCTGTTTGCGGGTCTTCTGATGGACGCTGGCCTCGCTGCCATCCTTGTGGCTGCTGATGTGGGAAGTGGTACTTCCTGTGGAAACAATTTACATTTCGAGCTATAAACGAACCATGACAAGACACTGAGTCAGTGATAAAGCCTGAGATACACAAAGACCTCATCCACGGGTCAGGGCTAGAGACCACAAGAAGAGAGAGGATTCCTTCTATTCATTGTTGTTGTTATAATTATTATTGTTAGAAGAGTAAGAGTTACAAATTTACACATAACTCTCGAGGCTATTTTTAAGGAGAGACTGTTAATTGTTGACTAATAAGTGACTTGTTGATTTAGTTGGTAATAGACAGGATCATCACCTCTCTTAGACCTTGCAGAAGAGTGGAGAGATCGGTGAGAAATGTGCGAGCCTCCACTGGAGCTCTTGCGCCGCTGATAGGTCTGCTGTTGCGGGTAGTGCACCTGGACATGTCCTGAATCAATGGAGGTCCCAAAGTTTAGGGATCTCAAGGTGTGAGTGGAACCTCTCCCCTCGCTGATCAGAGAGGAGGCGTGTTCAGACCCCTTCTCACTCCCCTCCTTGTCTTTCCCCTCGTCCTCTGACTCACTCTGACGAGAGGGCTCTTTCTTTTCTTTGGTGTCGTCCTCATCCCATAGCCCATGGCACTGGAAAAGGAAAGAGGAGGACAAATGCAGAGATTAGTATTGGCCATGTTATATTTTAGGCCCAAATGAATTGAGCGTCTGGTACTGGGAGTGCAGTCGCTCTTAAACATTTCACAGTACATCCAAACAATAACAGACACAGTGATGGCCCTATAAATGGCTGACAGTTCCCTCTACAGAGTTTCTTACATACTTTGTTGAGAAAGGAGGAAAACTGTAAGAAACAGATGGAGAAAAATGTTCTAGTCAGATTACATCTCTGTATAGCAGGGACACTAATGTAACAGGAGTTCCTCCCTGACCACAGATACATAATCAATCATTTTCTTTGCAAATTGCAAATTCTTTGTCTGTTCTCTATTTTGTCTGTTAATTAATCATAAAGGCAGTAATGTGTTGGAGAGTTTCTCTACCATCAAACAAAAGTAACCACCTAAAAATGCAGATTTTTTTTTTACCCCAAGGTTTAGAGGCTTTTTCTGTCAAGTGTGGACTTCATGTACAGACACAGAATTATTGTCATTTTGTTGTATGATTATAGTTGCATTTCAAGACACTGAGTATCAGCACAGCCAGATATTAAGTCTTTTTTACACAAAAAAAAGGACTGTGGATGCTGCTGTGGATATACAGGCTTTCTTTAAAGAGAAATCTGTGTACAACAGTTATATCTATAGGAAGCACTAACAGCCTGATTGTGTCTGACATTACTCTAGATTGTTCTTATTGTCAACAAATTGCAGGAAAAGAACAAAACCAACAATGAATAAGTCTATTTCACGACACTTTTCCGACTTACCCTGTGGCGCTTCTCCACAAGATCATTTGTTCCAACTGTAGAGGTAAAATATTTTAAACTAGTCTAATATAGCTAGTTTCCTTTAAAAAAAAAGGCCTTGTAGTTTCTGGTAAATAGTGCATTTGTTGGGGAGTACAGTTTAATGCACATTTGCTGCTCTAAAGAATACTTAATGGCAGCAGGGCGGAGGATGTGGGATTTACTCAAACTAAACTAGAGTGTTCATATTCATTGTCATGACGGAATATGTCACCAAGTTGTTAGTAGTATCAATAAATTATTGGTTTTGGTCTTTTCAGGGAGTTCGTTGACAGTTAGAAAAATTTAGAATTTCACTGTATTTATCATCTAATATCCATCCAGGTATCTCTTCCTTTTCCAGGGCTGGGTCGCAGGGGGCAGCAGGCTAAGCAAGGTATTCCAAATGGCACCCTCCCACGCAATATTTTCAAGCTCCTCCTGAGGCGTCCCCAGGCCAGACGAGATATATAATTCCTCCAGTACATTCTGGGTCTACCTATCAGTTAGACCTGCCTGGAAAACCTCTAACGGGAGGCGCCCAGGAGGCATCTTGATCATTTGCCTGAACCACATCAACTAGTCCCTTTTGGTGCAAAGGAGCAGCAGCTCTACTCTGAGCTCCGTCCAGATATCTGAGCTCCTCACCCTATCTCTAAAGCTGAACCCAGGCACCCTACGCAGGAAACTCACTTTCTGAGATCTCATTCTTTCAGTCACTACCTAAAGCTCGTGATCATAGGTGATGGTCGGAACATGGATGGACTGGTTAATCGAGAGCTTTGCCACAAGCTCAGCTCCCTCTTCACCTGCATCACTGTTGACACCGCACCAATTCACCTGTCCATCTATCCATTTTACCCTCAGACATGAACAAGACCCTGAGCCACTTGAACTCTTTTGCTTGGGGCAGTAACTCTCTCCCAACCCAGAGAGAACAATCCACCATTATCCGGCATAGAACCATGAGCGCAGACTTGGAGGTACCGACCGTCATCCTGACCGCTTCACACCCGGCTGCAAACTGGTCTAAAGAAGTCATCAGACCTATGTGGTTCTGATGGCTTCTTTAGACAGTGATCATTTAATATGATGGACATATTCAGGTTAATATGGTTGTAATATTCTTTGCAGGAACCTTCAGAATGGATCTGTGGAAGAAGAGAGCCAGTAACTGGACCAGGTCATAGTGGACGTAACCATCCTTCTTCTCCACTCCAATGATGTTGGGAGGGTGATATGGTTTATTCTTTTCCATAATGTTCTGGTTGAAGGGGAAGAAGCCAAACTGGAAGAAGTACTTGATGACAATGGTGACCTGGAGGGAAAGCAAAATGTGTCAGTGAAGCTGTCAGTGCTATGTCAAAGTTTTCCAATTAAACAAAAAAAAGACTGGTATATAAAAATCAATAGTAGATGGCTGTAATGGTTGACAGAATGATACCACCTGCAGATTTGATTGATCAGTGTTTTGAGATGACATCCAACTATACCTCAGTGTAAACGATGGCAGTCATCCAGTAGCGCTTGCTGGGCCGGGGAACTGACAGCATGGCCCAAAGGAAGATGGTGGTGGGAAGGACCAGGGTGGCGCAGGACGCTGACACCATGTGGTTGATGATGATGACCAGGTAGCACACCATCTCTGAGTGGGCCACCAGCATGTTGTAGAGGGCATAGCAGAGCTGGAGGATCAGAGGCTGCTTTTGGTAAAACTTATCTGACTGCTCCAGCTCCTCGTCATAAAACATCCTGCACAGACACAAAGAGGTGGACTGATTCGGTGTTTGATTATTTTTCTGATCGTAAAACTTTACAAAAATATGAATGAATGGTTTTATGATTGTGACTTGTTGAGTTGCTTGGCTTATTCTAAACTTGCAGATTATTCTTGATTCACAAAAATGCCTAGGTATATTCAAGAGATGCAAAACAACCACATGACTACAAAAAGTCATAAAATAACTATGAGTGGATGCAAAATGACCACAAAGAGATGAAAAAACAACCACAAATACCCGCAGCGAAACCACAAAGAGGCTCATAACAATCACATAACTACAAAAACACACAAAATGAGTACCAACAGATGCAAAATAACCACCAAAAAACACAAAAAAATGACCACAAAGAGGCATAAAATAACTACAAATACCTACAATACAACCACATGACTACAAAAGACACAAACAACTACAAAGACATGCCAAACAACCACCAAGAGATGCAAACCGACCACAAAGATGCACAAAACAACCACATGACTACAAATTAAGACATAAAATAACTACAAAGAGATGCCAAACAACCACAAAGAGATGCCAAACAACCACAAAGAGATGCCAAACAACCACAAAGAGGCAAGAACGGACCACATGACTACAAAAAGACACAAAACAACAAGCAAAAGATGCAAGACAACCACGAAGAGATGCAAAATGACTGTGTCTTTCAGTCTAGGTGCCTTGCTCCTATGTAGAAGGGGTGAGGAGTCTTGAACATGTCTGTGCCCAGGGGCCCATTGTCTCATAATCAGTTTCACAAGTGCTCCTTGATCACAGACTGCCTCAGGAAAGAGGACCTGAGACTGCCAGTGTTTCTTTTGATGTTGTTCTGGGATGTGCAGCAGTTTATTTTAATGTAATACAATGTAGGTTCTGTAGTGAAATCTTAAAGGTGCTGTGCAAATAAAGCAGGATAAAGCAATGAATGGAAACTCTGACAGTTTTTGATATGCTGTAGAACAGAAACATTTTGGGAAGTATTCAAAAAGCATATGGCACAATACCTAGAGTTGTGGATGGCACAAACATACAATACAACTTAAAGACTGAACTACATGCTATTTATTCAAATTATTGAGATAAATGTATAACAGATAACTGCTGATTCCTCTGAGGCTCAATGCTAAACAGGCTTTCACAGTTTTTGGACTTACTTGTTGAGCAGCAGTTCACTGGCGGTCAGCTCAGTGGTCATAGAGGGCAACATGATGTCTGACCTGCTGTCTGAGCGGCTGTCAGAGGTCATAATCATGCGTCTCTTCCTATCCATGTCACTCTCGTCATCACTAACTTCCAGACGGTCGAAGCTGACTGCCTTGCTGTAGCTGGGAGGCACGTCAGCATCAGATGTTTTAGAAGCATCTGTATCAGGGGTGTAGAGCAGCCCTACTCGCCCCTCTGTCTGCATGAAGTCCTGCTGTCCTCCCCCATCCTCACTCTCAGTGGTGAAGTCCTTTTCCTGGGCAGAGGGGGCAAAATCTGTCTCTTCCAGCCTGAGGGAGGGGCCCTCATCTGGGCCAAAGGAGTCCCAGGGAGCCTCTTCTCTGTCTTCTCTCTCCTGGTCCTTTGGTACCTCTACTCCCTCCTCACCCTCCAGTTCCTTCTGGCCCTCACCCTCACTCCCACCTTCCTCCACATCCTCCTCCTCCTCTTTCACATTGGGTTCTCTGTCACTCCATGGACCGCCCTCAGCCCCCTCACTCTCATCCAGCTGTTGGGATTCCCAGAGAACCTGCTGCTGCTGTTGCTGCTGCTGCTGCTGCTGCTGCTGCTGCTGCTTGTCTTCCCCTTGATCGTGTTCATCTTCCACTTCTTCTATGGTGTCTGTGGTGCCCTGTCTGGAGTACAGCGTGATGCACTGGGTCGCTTCACTGCAGGGGACAAAAACAGCAGAAATTGTGTCAATCTGCGCTGAAGTCTATCTGTTCACATCTCCCAGTTTATACAGTCCAATAAAAAAAAATATCTGCTCCCTTGCACTTCTTCAGCAGGTGCCAAGTGTGCCGACACGCGTTGTTTTAAAGTACCAATCCATATTTATTGTACAGCTTTTGACAACAAGTATAACACTGCCTATGACGACATATTTTATATCATTACTGTATTTAAAATCCCTATATTGTGACACATTATCTGTGTTACAAGTACTGACAAATGCATTAATAGGTACATATATCTGCTTACAATTACACTATAATATGTTAAAAACCATTCATTGAAGTAAAATGGTGCTAAATAAAATGTGTATCTCAATCAACACTAAAACGAGAAAAGGGATGTTCATTATTAAGACCTAAATACGCTGTAAAATGTCTTTCATATTACTGTTAATGGGTGAAAACCTTTTTGACAGGATGTAATAAAGAAAAGGGTTATAGAAAAAACTGCAATGATGCAGATAAAATCAACAAAAAAATGGATGCAGGGACATGTTTTGATAAAACCAGAGTGAGGAGATGTGATGATCTTCTTCATGTCAGTGATAATGACAAGAAACACAGATGTGTATGTGGGTGATGCAGAGGCCAGGCACCTGGACATGAAGCTGCTGCAGCTGTCCATTGATGAATTGGACATGTCCAGGCCGGACATCTTACGCAGTTTGGGCCTGGCACGCTCGCTGGTTTTGGGAATGCACTCTGGCATTCCATCCAGGTCTTCCAGGGTGGATTGGCGAGAAAACAGAGTGGTAGCCTCGGTGAAGGCACTGAGAGGTGGTGGGAGTGGGAGATGGAATGACAAGTGATGAGAGGAATGAGATGGGATCTGTTATTTTTTTGTTTACCTCCTCACAACTTTAAAAAACATGAGATGCAAAGAGTGAGGATGAAATGGCTCAATGTGATGTTCCCGAACAACCTCAACTCTATCAATGACTGCCTTCAAGGGTCAGTTTACCCAAATAGCAAAAAGCATTTTCATTTTCTAACTTACCTTGGGGGTGTTTAGCCATGCAGAAAGCATTGGTATTACAAGCGTACTTCAAGCATTTGAGATTTTTGTCTCACAGCTGTAAAAAAAACTAGCAACATCTTATTCCAGAAACAATGCCCTGGTTACCCTGAACATACATTAGAGCCTATGTCCTCTGCAGACAGTGGTTCCAATAAATTGTTAACAAATGTTGCTCATTTTAATGTTGTACCTCAAAACGTGGACAATTAAAACCAAAATCTATCTGCATGTATAGATAGTACAATGGGTAAGTAAGAAACATGCAGACACCTGTACCAAAAACGTATCCACATGTGGAGCTACATGTGATCATTAAAGGGCATGTACAAGCATCAAAGTGTAAAAATATATGGATTTTAATTGATTAATTCACATTTCCTGACCTTAAGACCTGAAAAAATTCTCATTCCTGTGCAGTAAAAGCTTATATATATATATATATATATATATATATATATATATTTTTGTTTACTACCCAAAAAGAAGACAGGAAGTTAAGGGAGGAAGAAGATGCTTCCTAAAGCTGCTTTGCTGAGGCTCTGTGTACCTGGATATGCTGTCTCTGGAGGCTGTGGAGTCTTGGCTCTCCATGGGGTAGGCTCGCCGTCTTCGGACCCTGGTGGAGCCTGAGCCCGACTCGTCCTCACTTATCTGATCCATACTGGCCTGCCTGGACATGTTGAGCCTCATGGCCTTCTGGTAGTAGATGTGGATGCTCTCTTTGGACGGCACATTACCCTGGTGGGAGGAAAGGAGAAATAATTTTTTACTGGCTCTCTTAATCACAATTAAGTCCTTGAATGAGGTTATAATTGTTGAAAAATAAGACAGATTCCATTTAAAAAGTTTACCTTTTTGACCTCTCTGGTCAGCATGCAGCGCTCTATACGCAGAACAGTGGAGATGTCGATGTACTCCCTGCACATGTCATTCATCCACTTGGTGAAGCTGTCTACCGTCGTCTGGAAGAGCACCCATGTGAACTTTATGATGTTGAACACTCGCTTGATGATGTTGTCTGAGAGAGGGCACATGACACACAACACTCACATTAATTAATCTTTTTAGGTTGCGCAAAAGAACTTGCAAAATGGTGGCTCTTAAAAGGCAGTGACATTTTTCATGTTAAAGGAATAATTCACCTTCCAAATGACCATTTGTATATTAATTACTCATCTTGTGTTAAGCTGAATTCATGAAGACGAATTCAAAAACGGAGAAAATTCATGATGACTTAAGTTAAAACAGGGTCAGCATTAAACAACAGCAAAACTGTATCAAAACATCCTTTTACAACTCGTCATCTCTCGTTATCCAGTCATGTGCTCAGTACCTCCCAAACAGACAGCCCTTTCAGACAGGAAATTGAATACAAAGCAAAGCTTATCTATGCTCTCGTCGAAGCCAAACTCCATTGACAAAAAGATTCATTTTACCTAAACTAAACACAGAAGCTGCTGGTCTACCCCTGCCTTGATCAGTAGTTTGTGTGTGTTATTGTGACTGTGGGAATTCAAACTAACCCCTTAAAACACCAAAGTCCCACAATAACAAAAACAAACGAGGCAGGGGTAGACCAGCAGCTCCTGTCTTCAGCGAGGTAAAATTTGTGTTTTTGTCAATGGAGTCTGGCTTCGATGAGAGCAAAGATAACTTTCAGTTTGTGTTCAATTACCTGTCAAACAGGGCTGTCTGTTTGGGAAGAACTGAGTAAACAACTCAGTAGTGCGAAAGTCGATATTTTGATATAGTTTTGCTGTTGTTAAATGCTGTCCCCCTTTTATTTCAATTCATAAAGCACTTTTTCTGTCTTCTTCATTCAGCATGGAGGCATGCGAGATAAAAAAAAGTTTTCTTCATGAATTCAACGCAACACAGGTGAAGTGATATAAAAATGGTCAATTTGAGGGTGGAGTATTTCTTTAATGTGAAAAAATGAGGCAAACTGACATAAACTTGACAGAGCACAGTGACAAATACTCTCCTGATCTGCCTGTAGAAGAATGACCACCAAATGATATCACAAGAGAAAAGACAGGCAAAAGATTGAATACTGGAGAGTTGGAAGTGTGATATGATTTACTAAAACACAGAAGTGTCCTAATCCGACACCAGAATATAATGTAGACAAGAGGTTAAATCAGTGGAGTCTGAATCACAGAAAATGGAAAGTCATTTATTTTTGCAGATAATAATTTAGAAGTTGACCCTTTCCAAATTCCTTAGATTCTGTAGCTTTATAATAAGATGCATAAACTGAAACTATCATCCATCAACTCCCCCATTCACAGCCAAAGAAAGAGGATGAAAACAAACTGTATGCAATTCTGTATGCAGGTTCATCATGACTATAGTCCAGTTCAGTATCTTCATTCTTGGAGACTGTTCAGACTCAGAAGGAGGAATTAAAGAGAGCAACGTCAAGTCACTCTTTTTTTCCAAGGCCTCTTTCAACAACTCACAAAACAATTTTACTGAAGACAAACCCACCTGGACCCTCAGACTTCTTGTTCTCCTCTCCTTTATCTTGCCCATCTGAGAGCTCACCAAGGTCTATGGTCACATGACCTGCTGAAGTACAGTAAAAACACATCACTATGGTTGAAAGAACATGAGATTCATTGTTTCATGTAATGTTTTTTTGTCTCTATAATTTACCTTCTTTCTTGCTTTTCCTGTGTCTGACTCCTTTGGTGTATTTTTTCCAGAATTTGCGTTTCTCTTTGCCTCGTGCCCTCAGGGCAGCTTTGGGGTCTGTGATCCAGGCGTGATAAAGGAACTGAAGAACAGAAAGAAGAAGTGCAGCATCAATCAAAGGATGTGAAGAAGAAGAGCGACTGAGGTCAATTATGCATGAGCAACAACAAGCAAAAAGAAAATGTTAATTTAGGTTTTAGTCTATTAATTACAAATCATGAAATTTTATAATACTACAGATCATTTTTTGAGCAATACCTGAACTTTTCTAACATAATATGACATAGACACACTAACAAGTAAGCTCTCTCAAAAACAGTCCATTCAAAAGGACTGTTGTACTTTAATAAAACAACACAGACAAGCTCATATTCCCAGTGATGTACTGCTTTCCTCAAGCAAGGTTTTTTGCAGTCCTGCAGTCTGTAGTCTGAAAATGTATGGTATGTGCAACAAAATAGTCTGCAGTATTGTCAAGAATTAACACATGTTCCTGTTAATGCACTGAAACATGCAAACCAAAACACCCAAACACTATCTGCTACACAATACCACTACCACACAATAAGGTCAAAACAGACATGAAACACTTAACACAACCAACAACATGTCAAAATAAATCTCGAGTTCATGCAAGCCAACTCAAACTACTCACATGCACAAGAACAAAGGTCAAAGCATTTCCACTCCAGCTTATGTTTGATAATTATGTCTAATTTATGAATGCTTGTGATATGGTTAAACTCATCTATCACTGTGGCGTGTAAATCTGTGAATATTTGGTTCTTTCTGCAGAGGGAGAACACCAAACATGAGCTAGAGAGGCAGTGCGTTAGTTGTTACTTAAAGAGGCAGATGTCCAGACAGATAGAAAGCTGTGTTCATTAGTTGTGGTGGTGAGTACCTTGCCTGCCTTGACTACATACTGCAGTATAGTTTTAGGCAGCTTAATGATAGACTTGGGCAATGCCAGAACAGCAGAGACAAACTTCCCAATAGCTCGCTACAGAGAGACAAAAGCGTGGGGGAGGATTAGTAGAAAGTTAATTCACATTATTAGAAACAACAGAGGTTAACTGTGTTAGGAGACAGTGAATAAAAGAGGATGTGAGTATATGCAGGTGAACGTACATAGTTTATCACATTCTCCTTAATGTTAGTATTTGAAACTTTTAATCGTAAAAAGACGTAAAAACAGCAATATAACAAGTAAACATAATCCATTAAGTCACAAATTATAATGTATTCCAAAAGACAAGAATTAACAGTAAAACTTACATAAGTGTGTAAAGCAAAGTTCACACAAGTAATGTTTGTCTTAGTGATGTGTGATCTGTTAATTTATTGAATATTTAGCAAATAACATTTCAATCTGCATGACACCCGTAACTATAACCATCAGAGAGAGTAAAGGGTGGAAAGTAACTTAGAATATTTACTCCTACTTTATACTTTCACTCACAGTATAGTGTTAGAGAAGACTGTTGAAACTACAAAAGGCTGCCATAGCCATACTGCTGCTGCGGCTGGCTACCCCAGTCGTCAGCAAGTAGAGCGACTGTGAAACACTTAATGACGCAGACCTTCACGCCATGACAGCCTTGTTGTGAGGCGCCAACAGAGATATTGGAATATAGCCTTGGACATCCAAAGGTTTTGGAATAACTGTTTCTCAGTGAAACAGCGGTGACCCCACCACTCCTGACTCATCTCTTGGCCCTCCCATACCTTTCTCTCCACAGCACTACCAGCAATAGCTTCTAATAGAAATGATGGACTGAAAGCCCATTTATACAACAGCCTGTTAACCTGAAAACAAACAGCCATTGCTCCAAAGGGCCATTTCTCCTAAAATATGCTACACACTCTCCCAAACAGAAGCACATAGCTAATTATTATGCAAAATTACATCATTAGACCTTCCTACGATGGCAATTCATTCAATGGCCCATTCATTTTTTCCCTAAAGGCCTTTTTTTGCAAATGAGAGTTGTTTTTGTTGTTGTTCCAACGCACATGTGTGAAGCTACTGGTTGCATGTGGGACATTTCAGGGCAGAGATCAGTTCACACTGACATCAGATATGGGTCACTTCAAACATGAATGCAAACAGTCTAGACAGAAAAGGTCAGATCTTGGGAAATAATTGGAACTGAGCATTTAGTCCTGTAACATGAAGGCAGCCTATGAGTTGCTCGCACTTTCACCAAGGAGACAATGTCCCTCTAAAGTTCTCACATGGTTTCATTTAAATGACTGTCTGAGGCCCAAAAAGGTATTTCTATACTTATAAAAAAAAGTCTAACAAATGAAAGCAAACTTTCACAGAACATTAAATATGCGACTTTTACGAAATATGAAGTTTTATTAAGGATACAATATTTCCCAGTTGAAGTATAAAGTCTGTACAGTACTTGAGTAAACACACTTTGTTATTCTTTACTTCAGACAAATGAAAAATCCTCATCAGTAATAAAAATATATAATTAATCGATCTGTGATATAGACGGAATAAAAATCTAACTCTACACTGAACCGATGGAAAATGAGCCACAACTTGGAGTCACCTGAAAAGCTGATTTCTTTGGTTGGTCCTCTTCTTTTTTCTCCTCCTCTTCCTCTTCCTCCTCACTGTCAGTTTCAAACAAGTAATAGTCTCCACTTCTAACCACTGAGGGGGCACAGGGTGAAGTTAGTGGTTATATTCAGTCAAAAAAGGCTGAAGTCATTCTTCATTTTTATCAACATTAAAATGAGGTGCAGAGAAGATTCCCTTACTGAAAGGAAAAGCAGGAAAATCAAACCACTTACCATTAAATTACATGTAATTCACTATATACTTAATATTTCACTGAGTCTACAGTACGTCTATATATATATATAGACAAAAAAACATCAGAGACATGAAAGGATAAAACAGAAAATACACAGAACAACACACATATAAAATGTTAGTATGACTAGTACACCTATGAGCACAAAGCACAATGAAGACTCTTATTCCAGTAAGCACAGTCGCCTTTAAGCTTCTCGACAGAGTAAGTGACTCCTGTCTACAGTAGTTAAGTGTTAGAAGCAATGGGATAGACAAGGCTGACTTATGTCCTTGAACAGAACCGCGGTGGGCGGGAGGTGAGGGAGGATGCTGGGACATGGAGATGAAACATCAAATGACAAAGAGATAAAAATGGAGAAATAATTTGAAAATGTCATGTGGGGGTGGAGTACGACGTGAGACATGAGGTCAAACCAAACAGGGACCACTGTATTGACTCAGAAAGATGCTGGAATTTAGATAGTAAAAGTCATCATTTTACATGCTGGTCCAATTGTTCTTGTTTGTTTTATTTTCTCCTGTTTGGTGATCATGTCTGCAGGCAAAGAATGAATAAACCCTTCATCCTTTATTCCAGTACTGAGAATAAAGGCGAGTCGACTTCATGTCTTTGCATGAAAATGTTTCAGAGTGATTCTCAACTGTGGGCTCTTGAGGTGAGACCGATGATGTCAAGTACAAACCTCCAGCCATTAGTCATTTTCTCTTTCTACGTTGTCTCATCGTGTCTATTTAAGGCAACCCTGCTCCGCACTGATACTGACACGGTTTCATAGATCGTCTTGAAACTGAAGTGCCTCTCTACACACAGTGTACACAAGGCCACAGGTAACAAGGGCCCCTTAAATAGAGACAGAAAAGGACTGAATGGAGTGAGGCTGCTGTGTGTTGGTGCCTTCAGAGCCCAGGGGCAGTATGGGAATCCTCGGCGTTCTGGTCAAGGACACAAGGGCCAACCAGAGTGGAGGAAGAGAAAAAAGAGGGTTCTGGGGGTCAACCTACTGGAAGCATGGTCAACCCACGGCCTCCACCACTGCTTTTTTTTGGTCTTGGCTTTCGTTCGATGTGCTCCTAAAATTTCACAAATACATCAAGGCAACATTTCATAAGAAAATGGATTCTTCTGCAAACTTCAAGGCATATTTATATATATCTTTTTACTCTATTAAGCTTCTGTTTTGAGAATAAATCATTAAAAAACACATGTTTAAAGGGGACCTATTACACTTTCCCTTATTTTCTGTCATACACATAATGCTACAATGTTGCATGTTCATATTAAACGTGGCCAAATTTTCAAATACTGAGGTGAACATATGTAAAAAAAAAAAAAAAAAAAAAAAAAAAAATCCCTGTGAAAAAACCCTCAAGCTTCAGATTGTTCCGAACACCAAATTATTTTTTAACTTTTGAGCCAAAATGACATGAGATTGTGATAGAATTTTTCATGTGGTTACCTGCTCCAGGCATGCTACTGCAAGTCTTTACATTACATACACTGCTACGTGTAGCTACATGCTAACCTCAGAGAAACATGTAATCTTGGTTGCTGATGCTGTTCATTTAAAAGCATTCACTGGTGATTTTTTACAATAAAAAAGTGCCGCTATCACAGTTACAGTCATTCCCATGGTTACAATGACGTTGCAGAGATGCCGAGATGCGGAAGAGCTGGAAATGCTGACCGGTCGAAGCAGACTAGGCTTTTTCAGGAGGGGGTCTTAAAGGATTACTTAACTCACAAAATGACCATTTTTAAATCAATTGGTCATGTCGTGTTAACTTCAATTTGTGAGGAAAACTTTGTTTTTCTCGCATTCCTCCCGCAAAACGGCAAACAACAGATAAACTATATTAAAACGTCAATTTTCAAACTTCTACACAACTCGTGCAGTGTAACCCAAGTCTCATTTTCCCAGTCATATGCTCAGCACTTCCAAAACACATGCATTTTTGCCACTTACTATTGGAGTCTGGCTTTGTAGAATGCATAGGTAAGTTTCACTTTCAGTTCAGTTTTAAATAGTCAATGCATGTGTTTGGGAAGTATTAAGCATATGACCGGATAAATGAGACTTGGATTATACTGCACAAGTTCTGAACGTTTGATATATTTGATATATTGTTTTGATATAGTTTTGCTGTTAATAATAAACATGTTCCCCCACTCAATTAATAAATCAATATGCCTGCCATTTTCCATGGAGGCATGAAAGAAAAACAAAGATGACTTCATGAACTCATGGTAAGACTAACTGATATAAGAATGATCATTTTGTGGGTGAAGTATTCCTTTAAAGGCACTGAACGGAGCATCTGAGACAGAGAGTGAGGTGTTCCCACACAGACGATATGAGGAAAAATAAAATGTTTTTGAACATTAAAGCATTTAGAAACCAAAAATACAAATATAACCCTGAAAATGAACATAATGGGTCCCCTTTAATAAATCCAGGCATTAATAGACTCTCACCCTTCTCCCTTGAGCACTACAAGCAAACAACAACCTTATCATCAACTTTTCTGATATTGACTGCACAGAGAGAAGCCCCAGCAGCCTCCTTCATACCATCATCATCATCCTCCTCGGGGTGGACGAGGGTCTGTCCTTCTCCAGACTCCTGTACCATGCTCAGCATCTTCTCCTTGCCCCTCTTAAACTTTTGCTGTCTCACCTTAATGCGCTCCATCCTGATTAGATCAGAGAGGTAGTGAAGAGACACGAAGTATCGACACAGAGGAACATCACAGGCTGACCATAAATATCTCCAGGGTTGATATTGAAATTAGTGTACGTTATGAAACAGTGGAGTGCTCATTAGAGCAGGGTGAGTGGATATGATCAGAGCTTATGAGTAACTCCTGGGGTAACTGTAAGTGCTGGAAATACATTGACTTCATGTAGTATAATATACTGAGCAATGGTTTCCTGTAAACAGTAAAGACTGAGCTAGGAGTCGCTCCAGAACAGATTTTAAATGGCTTTCTGAATCATGTCTACTTACTTATCGATTAAATTGAGATTCATCAAAGATATCTAAAGTCATGATATAGACTTAACCAAACTTGATATTGATGTTTTTCTTCTAGTCAGCAAATCCCATGAAAAACCAACAATGAATTTATTCAATTTTTAAGTGTCACCGGTGCAGCAAAAGCCTGATATATCTTATTCCTCTGTGCTATAGAGCTCCACTGTTGTCTGAAAACTGCCAACTTCTCACTGTGATTGGTCGGTTTTCTTAAAAAGAACTGTACATGACATTCAAAGCAATAATGTAGCAGCAAAAAAACTATTTCGTACATGAGGATGTAGTTAATTGTGGTGGCAGTGCTGGCAAGTTGTGCATATTAGTGCATGTGGGTCCCACTAGCTCACTAATCACCGCTGCTCTGCACTGTGCTCATACAGTTACTGCTTATATCGGGACAGGTCACTGTGGAAGCGTAACACCTGTCCCCCAGTTCCCCCCAGGTTAACATCATTGCTTTTGTTAGCACTGTTGCTGTTCATTCATTCATTTTCTGTAACCGCTTATCCTGTTAAGGGTTGCGGGGGGGCTGGAGCCTATCCCAGCTGACTTTGGGCGAATAGTGGGGTACACCCTGGACAGGCGGCCGGACTATCACAGGGCTGACACATAGAGACAGACAGCGATCCACCCTCACATTCACACCTATGGCCAATTTAGAGTCACCAATTAACCTGCATGTTTTTGGACTTTGAGAGGAAGCTGGAGTACCTGGAACACACGCTGACACAGGGAGAACATGCAAACTCCACACCCCCACCCTGGATTCTAACCCTCTTGCTGTGCGGCAACAATGCTAACCACTGCATCACCTGTTAGCGCTATTTATTGAGTCAGCATCGTTAGCTGACAAACCATGTTGAGAGCCATGTGCAGACCTTTCCGCCCCAGACTCTGAATCATAGATTTGCTCTGAATGTCACATACAGCTCCTTTAAAACCAAACAACACAAAAGCCACTATAAATCAAATAGTTAGAAAATGTTGATGAAGACTGGGTTCCAAATAATGAATTTGTCGAACCAATAAAATCCTACAAATATATATATATATATCTATATATATATATATATATATATATATATATATATATATATGGGATTTTTGGTGGATGCTGTTTGGCCTGTTTCAGACACAACTCTTGTGTCATAATTGGTCCTGAGGTAGTTCTAAATAAATGTTAAATCTAATCTAGAGGAAGACAACTGCTTGATTTTTTTAAGTTATGTGTATGTAAATGTAGAAATGGGAAAAAACGTACCAAATATATATTTTAAAAAACTTCCCCTTGTATTGCAAATTGTACCCAAGAGCCCCAAACCACAGCATTACACCACATGGAGTAAGTCAAATATTTGGAGTCTCACTGTCTCTTCAGCTGCTCCACAGATTTGCGCTCTTCCTCCAGTCTGGCTCTCACCGCCTTCACTATCGTGGCCTGGAAAAGCTCCGCCCCTCTGAAACACAAGCAAATGGTCAAAACATCTCTAGTGTCAGAGTGTGAAAGTTGGTCATACTTTACAATTTAATGAAAAAAATGCCTCCCTTTGGAAGGTGAAAAGAAAACATTCACACAAATCTAGATACATTCCATATTTATCTGATTATAACGTCACTCTACTGGGAAAGACAGATACAATGTTTCTTCTCAGGTGTGTTTCTCATTAGTTTCTTTTGTGCAAATTAAAAAGACATGTAGCTCTCCTATTATATTGACATTGAACTCCAGAGCATATTTTATTTGGCTGACACGTTTTCTTGATACACACCAGTGTTCCTTATCTTCCCTGTCAAAAGTCTGTCGATCTTGCACTTTATGTTGTTTGCTTACTCGGAAAATTTCTCAAACCTGAATCTAGATAGCATCGGAGAGCTTTCGTGCCTTTATCATTCTCAAATAAATCAGATTCATAGACTTTTTAACATATCGTGACAGGAAAAGCCTGGTACAGTAAGCCTTTATTTATATTAAAGACATACAGCAGCAATATTAGACTAGAAGAATCTGAATATGGGAGCAGCACCCCTGGGTAGGTCAGAAACGTGACAGTCTCATCTATGTACCTGCAAGCAAGGATCTGTGATGCTCTGATATCGGCCACCACGTGAAGGAAGTAGTAGCTCATGAAGACTCGTCTCTGCAGCAGCAGGAAGGCGAAGCAGATACTGTCCCAGATGATCCCTGCCTCATTGCTGGGCAGATCACACAGCTCTAATGATAAAAGGTGAAAGTGAGGACATTTGTGAGTGTAAATAAACAAGGATGTTAATATATTGGCACTTTCTGTGCACAAATCTGACTGTTTCACTCAGTATTGTGGCAGTGTTTTGTATTCGCTATAAATCCACCAAGATTAACACTGAGCTAAATTGGCTTTGAAAGACAGGCCTGAAAAATAAACAAGGTTGGGGGTTTAAATCAGCTTCTTGGGAAACACACTCTTGGACTGAAGCAGCAAATCACACCGACATGAGATTAATGACTACTAGTTGTAGCAAAAATGGGGATTTGTGCTCCTCCTAATACTGATGGGGACATCTCACCTTCTTCTGAAATTTATTGTCTACCCCTGAGATGCACAGAGAAGTAAAATGTTGAGTCCACTCACTGTCGTTTGCTTTGCTGATGTTGATGTTGTATTCCTTAATGGTGCAGGCCAGACTGAACAACTGGATCAACCAGCACCGGTTCTCAATCAGAGAGTTGATGTAGCCACAAGCCAGGATCTAAGAACAAAAATGTTTTATTATATAGAGGAATACAATCACTTATTGGATACAGTATATTATATCTTTAAATATCTTTAAAAGGAATACTTTTCCAATGAAATGATCATTTATATATCAGAGATCATTTGTAAAGAGAGCAGTTTTTCTCGCATACCTCCACAGTGAACGAAGAATCCAAAAACAGAAAATTCTTGATGAATAAAATTGAAAGGGGGACCACGTTTAACAAGAGTAAAACTATATCAGAATCAAGTTGTATGCTCAGTACTTCCCAAACACACGCATTTCCGCTAAAACCTTACTATTTAAAACACTTCTGCATAAAAAAGTCTCACGCAAAGACAAATAGCCTGGGCAGGTGTGTCATTTGCACACTGATCAATGGAATGCACAAGCAGAATTAAAACACATGTGCTTGCATAGGTGTGCAAGTGTTTTAAATAATAAGGTTGGAATGAAAATGCACATGTTTGGGAATTGGGAATTTTGTGATAAAATTTTGATGTCGTTAAATGTGGACCCCTTTTGACTCCAATTCATCAAGACTTTTCTCAATTTTTGGATTCTTCGTTCACCATGGAAGCCTCTAAGAAAACAAAGTTTTCTCAAAAAATTGAACAGAACACAGGGTAATAGATATACAAATTATCATTGTGTGAGTGAAGTATTCTTTTAAATCTCTGATATCACATAGCACACAGAGTGTTGTTATGAACTCTGCATTCTAAAAGACAGACAGATGTTTTAGACTGAACATTATATCACCTCATCTGCACAGTACATAGATTTCATCTTTCTCGTAGTTAATCAACTGATCTTGATATACAGCTAGAGACAGGCTACTCACAGACAAAATGTTCTTCATGGTGATCACAAAAATGTTGTAGGCGATCAGGAAGTCCCAGTAGTGGAGGATCTTTTTGATTGGTTTGAGCAACAGCTCGCCTCCAAAGAGCAGGAAGTAGAAGCAGGCCACCAGGTAGCCCATGCAGAAAACGCTGATGCGCGTGGTCCCCGTGATGAAGATGATGGTGAGAACAAACCAAAACAGGTAGCTAAACATGATGACCTTCAGCATGTCCAGGTAGGATCTAGAAGACGGTAGTGAAACCATTATTATAAATTCAACAGATACATTATAAGCTTTTTGGATTCTTTGGCAACTCTAAATGTCAGGTAGAGGTTACTGTCAGTAAACACAACATACAGAGCACCCTCATGCTGCATTCATGACACGTCAGCAGAAAGGGCACAGTGCTCACACATTATCCAAAAAACAAAATTTTTTCTAACTGCTCGCCCTGTAGTAGCACCTGATACAGAACATGGAAACACAGCCAAATGGAGCTGCTTTCATTATTGTACATATTTGTGGCAGTTCATGAACACTATTAACAAGGTATAAACATACAAAAAGAGCATAACATGTAGCTCATTTAAAAAAAGCTGCATTGCTGTTATTAATATTGTATACTATCCACAATGAGCTGCCAGGAAAGGTGCTGTAACACATCCGTGGTTCATCCGAAAAAGAAAAAAAAATCAGAATTCCCTGATTTCCCAGCTTGCTTAAAAGACTATTCCCACCCAAGTGACATATCAGCCTGCGTGATATAACTTACACACAACATCACGTTTATGAACTCAGCTGGTCTGCGATGTAAAGTGAAATAAAAATAAGGTGCTCACCTGCTGCTATTTATGAGGAGGTTTGTATTTTGCTCTTAGTTTTCTTTTGTCATAGCTACTTCCTGTCAATAGAGAGCAGTGATGGAAGTACAATTCTGAGGTGTTTGTACTTAATTTCACTATATTCATTTTATGCTACTTTGCATCTCTACCTCACTTCATTTCAAAGGGAAGTATTGTACATTTTACTCCACAACATTTGTTTGACAGATTTAGTTGATTTGCAGATCCAGATCATCAACATAAAACATAATCAACAAATAAATTATGGAATATACTTCTAGGTTAATAAAAAAATATTAATAAGGTAGGTAGAACTAGCTCCACCTTAACCAACTACAACATTAAGGTGGTGCACATATTAATGCTTTGATTAGAATCAAATAATATGATATATATGATTCTGAAATGGGCCATTCTGCATATTAAGTACTTCTATTTTTGGTGCTTTAGATATATTTTGATGCTGATATGTTTTTCTTCAACTAAATTAAAACTTATTTTTACTGTTGTATTGGTACTTTTACTTTATTAAAAGTCCACTAGTACTTCTTCCACTTCTAGTAAGGAGTTGCATGTATCTAACACCAGAGTTCAATTTTAATCTTCTAACATCTCAATTAGTTTGAAAGAATAATCTTCAAGGTTTATTGTGTAGTAACTGAAACTCCCCATGTGCCAAGCCTGTGGGAGAACTATGGTGGCAGATGCGAAAATGTGAATGGCCCTATCGAGAGCCAGTGTTTGATTTGTCCATTCTGGGCTACTGTAGAACAATATGGCAGATTCGGTGGAAGTGGACCCACTCCATATGTGGATATAAACGGCTCATTCAAGGTAGCAAAAAGACAAAGATTCTTTTCTTCAGGTTATTATAAACTAATAAAAGCATAGTTATGAATATTGTATACCATTTCTGCCAATAGATGACACTAAACCCTAAACACTGGACCTTTAACTCAAAGGCCCCTTATGTTTGTTCACAAGAATGAGATGGATGCAAGGTCACAATGACCTTTGACCACCCAATTTTAATCAGTTCATTAATAAGTCCAAGTGGATGTTTGTGCCAAATTTGAAACAATTCTTTCAAGGTGTTCTTGAGAAATCATGTTCACATGAATGAGACAGACCAGGTCACAATGACCTTGACCTTTGACCACCAAAATCTAATCACTTCATCACTGAGTCCAAGTGGGTGTTTGTGCAAATTTGAAAAAATATCCTCAAGCAGTTCATGAGATAATGCGTTCACAAGAATGGGACTGACAAACAAAGAGAAAGACAACCCCTAAACATAATGCCTCAGGCCATTGCTGTCATCATCCTGAAGGCTTAAAAAACATTCTGCTTTATTTGACAGATTTGAAATAAGATAAAGTTCATGAGTTAATTTTAGGTAAGGTAGTAAGAATGCATGCTTACCACACAATAAAAGTCAAAACAATATTTGAGTTCATCCTGTAGCTGTGTGCATAATCTGACCATCAATCACATTTACTATATCACTTAGTGTCAGGACACCGGTAAGAGTCTGATCAATGAATGTGAAGCAGAGCTGAAACCTGACTCCTGTCACTCAGCACAGGTGCACGTACACTTAAGTATGACCTGTGCATGTCTAACATGCTAAAAGCATGCGTGTGGATCCTGTGTTATCGTGTGAGAGACCATTAATATGATGTGTGGAGTGAAAACATAGGCAGCAAGGTGCATTCATTTGATGGACCTGGGGAAAACATGGGACCACAACAACAGCTGCACTGTTTAGGAAGCAGCTCTGATGAAGTGGGCTTGGATCGGACGACACGCTGATGGGCCGGAATAGCTGAGTGAGTGTCCTTCTTCATCAGTGGGAGAAAATACCTTTTCCATACTTAAAAGCTATTTATTGAGTTAGAGTACAGGGCAAAAGCGTCTGAGTCGCGGAGCGACGGACAGAGTGTTTTTGTGGATTATGGATTTCTCCCCCACCCCGTATCCGTAATTCGATCCTGGAGGGAAACGATGGAATAAGTGCAGAGCTGCTGTGGCGTGGACAGACGGGCTGTACAGCTCTCTTTCTCTCTACTAGGGCTTGTTGATGGACACAGAGTGCGTTAATAAAAGACTTGTCCACTTTGCGCATCAAAACAGTGGAATGTGAAGAGCACATAATCAATGAGTGTGGACAGGTCAGGATGCTCTTGCTGTCTTTCTAGCTCGCTCTCTAGTTCTCTGCCTCTCAAAACCCTCTCTTCACTCTTTTTTTTATGTGCAGAGTCAGTATCTAGCTCTAGATTCAGATATGGGACAACAGCCAAAAGTCTGAATTATGTATACAGTGGATATTCAATAACATCTCTGACTAAGCTACTGACATGAGCTACTGTCATCCGCCTTACCTTTATTTATCTAGGATAAGGGATTTGCTGAGCGAGTGTGTTCTTATTCAGCACCACTCCACTTAAGATTTCTACAGTTACACAGTTAGCAGCCAAGTACAACAACCCTTTTCTACTGAGTTGGCTTCTGAGAAGGTCGACTAGAGAGGCTGGGGCACGCAGTAAATGTGTAAGACACTTACTGCATACCCCAGCGTCTACCGTTTTTGACTTAAAGCCCACTTCTGATTGTTCACAAAATTCAGAGGACCACTCTCTCAAATAGATAAGAGAAAAAAGATAACATGACAAAAAGAAGAAGAAATAAACTGGGTTGTAAACATGTGTTGTGCCGTTGTCAACAGTAATGACCAAAATAAATTATCCACATTTAATGTATTCAGGGTCATATTCCCTGACCACGCACTGTGGAGCTTTTACTGGCACAGGATTGTCTCCCACATCACTTTTTTTGTTAAAAAATAACTGATCAAATTTGTGTCACTGCATCCGAGTGAACATTAGCTAGCTTACTTGATGTCTCTACCAGATAATGTGTGAGGCGTGGTGATATTCAATGGAACTAATAACATCATGCATTTTAATTTGACAGTTTTTTTATCTATGTAAATTCCTGTGCACATTGAGATAAAAAAAAACTGGTTTTGTTAATAACCAAAATCTTAATTTTTAACTTAATCTAACCATTTTGTCAAAGCCCACTAGATGGCGCTCTCAGGCCCACCATTGGGCTGTCTTACTAAACTGTACCTCAGTGGTTATTACTGATTATTAGGAAGAATCGTCCCTTTATTCACTCCTCTAATTCTTTTACATTTACCCAATCAGTGTGGACCAAACCTTACACCACCTGTTACCAGCCTGCTTCTCTACCATTTAGCCCATCAGTGATCAGTGCAAGTTGGGAACACCATATTTATATATCATCGGCTCTTAATATGATATGGTGAATTTGTAAGCAAACAATTGTTTATTTACACATCCAGCAGTTACAGAACAACATTATCACTCATTTGTAGTTGTGTTTGTGTCCACCTGATGTATATAAGTTAAATATTCACTCCCTTTTAGCTCTGTCTTTGGTTTCTACTGACACCTGAGGGATGTTCTGTCTCTTTAGCTGCTAAATGCTCCAACAAGTTCACCAGCTAGTCTCTAACTGTGTTTGTCTGCTGTTTGTTGCTGAGCAGGTAGTGTAGAGTGTGTTTTTAGAGCTTTTTCACTGAAAACAGATGCCTGCTGTGGCAGAGAGCAACTCTATGAGAGCAATGACAGTGAACTAAGACAGTAAAGTTGGGGGACAGCTAAACAACGAGCTGAAACTAACTATGAAGCTCAATAAAGCTGATTAGATTCAGCTGATAATTCTCAGTAGGTTCATGACTATAAGTGATTACAAGTCTTTCGCATTGTCATTTGATTTTTAATATAAAAATGTAGATTATTGCTGCTTTAAACATTTCATTTATACCTTTATCTCATTTTGACAGAACATCATTTACAAGAGAAAAATAAAACCTGACAGGACAAATAACCTGAGTAGTAATCCTGTTGCACTCTAAATGACATAAGACAAACATGTTCTGATCACAGTGGATCCAGAAACAGATAGAACGTTAAGATCATTTTGTTCATAATTTCAGAGACGATTACAAATAGCGTTATGGAAATTCACATTAGCATTAGCATCTAGCAGGTCTTTAACATCTACAAAGGGTTGTCTGATGTTACATAAAATAATTCATCACAATTCATGCCAGTGTATTATCCAGAAAACATAGACTAAACTCGGCATTTCTGCCTATATTATATCAATGGTACAACTTTAAGGGTAATGTAAGGTATAGAAAAAGAATTATGACTCAAAAGTCTTCCTAAAAGACTTCATGCTTAAATATAAACTGCTGCTTTGTTCTGATTCCTTTAGTTAACCCATATATAACCCATATATAGTACAAATATAAACAATTCTCAACAGTGCTGCTTGTTTTAAACAAATTTCACTTGACTTAATTGTGGGCATCTAACATTATTAAGCATCTATTAAGCCGCCAACTTCACTTCCTTTACATTTCTATGTCTTTTGTCGTCATCCATGTTAATACCAGTTCAGCTCCGGTGACACCAAAATTATACTTCAGCTGAACTGAATGTAAAATCTACTTTAAGTGTTGAAATACAAGTAGAGGTCCAGTGCCACATACTGTATCTATGTAGCCCTAATAGAATTAATAAACATACTTGGGCCACTTCCTGCTGCTGTGTAAATATAGTATAACATCAGTGTAAGCTGCTGTACCTGCAGTGGATGAAGTCAGGGACGGGGTTGTGGACGCTAAAAGAGGCTGCGTCCAGGTCTCTGCAGATCTCCACGTTGTCTCCAGCCATGAGGCGGACTGCTGCCTTGTTCTCATCATCAAATACCTGCCTCTGAAGAGAGGCACACAGCAGCAACATGAAATCATCTAGAAAAGGAGAGAGTAGTGGAGAAAGCTCATGTATGCTGAACACAGTCTCGCTGGTACTAGAGACTATAATGACAATCATCAGCATCGTAACCACGACGTGTCTACCACTTAAAACACATACAGATGAGAAATGAAGGATTGGGTTGGGTGAGGAAATCTGGAACATAGAGCCACTTGACCACATTGGAGTCTGTAGTAGAGTTGGGAAACCTCCAGGGATAGTCTGAAATGAAGACATCCTCCATTATCATCGGACATATGTATAAACAACATTATAACATCGGACTTACTTAGACCTTGTTGTGAGCAGTTTAATGTAGGAACTATTTTCTTCTACCGAACACCTGCCAGTCATATCACCGTGCAGAGGGTAGCATGCATCTACTTGTGGGTGAGAGGCTCTTGCTCATGGCAGCACGAGATGTAAACATTAATGGCGTCATCCTCGGCTGACCTGAAACATTCGCTTGCACAGTGGTGCTAGCAATAGATGTATCTTCCTTCAGTGCAGTGATATGGTTGGTGGGTGTAGCTCCATAGATAGAAAATAGTTCCAACTGCTCACAACAAGGTCTGTGAATTATCTTGAGCAACCAGGTCATGATTTCTGGAAAGAGACATCACTGCTGAGTTTTTCAAATGTATTTTTTTGGCGCTTTGAGCACCACAAGCTGAGTGCCATCTAGTTCCATTATACTGGAGAAGAAGGCAGACATCTCTACGGCTGCTATCTCCAACACTGCAACTCACACTAAAACAATGCAAACTGATAAATTGCATCACAGGTGAGAGGAAAAAATACATATTTTTGATTGTGGGTGAACTATCCTTATAAGGCCTCAATGTTTTTCTGAACCAAATGCATTCTGTGAATAAACCAATTTTGATTCAGCAACATAATTTATAAGATTTGAGACTGAGATCACCTGGGGATATAACCTTGATACAACATTGACAGTTTAACTGAGTTATCAATCATAGTAGGGCTAAATGAATAGTTAACAGACAGATAATTAACTGACATAATCCATTAAAACAACAAACATTTGTTGTTGTCAGCTTCTCAGATGTTACCACTAGCTGCTTTGCTGTTATTTATATCATTGTAAATCCAATACTGTGGGTTTGGGACTTTTGGTCGAACAAATAAAGAAATTCAAAGATGTTACCTCTTTTTTTGATTGATACACTTAATGAATGCTGCATTGACTGAAAAATAAATGTTAAATTAATCTATAAAGAAAACAATCCCTGACTGTGGCCTGAAATTATAGCAATAACCGGCTGAGGGCTGTCAATTACTTTCCTGTCACTGTCTGGTTCTTCTAAGTACAATCTGACTGAGTCAAACCTTTGCAGGCTGCTGGTGGGATCCCGATGCAGATAAAGTACTGGAAAGTCAGCATGCAAGCCAGGAAAAAGCAGTACTTGGGCCAGATCTCAGCGATGGCTTTCCTCCTGCGTCTATACATGACTGCAATCAAGGCGAAGGCGTGAAGCATGGCGTAGAAGTCCATACGCTGCCCAATAACATTGACCACCAGCAGCAGGCACGTCTGAGGGAAACACATGAGGAATATAGACATAATGAGCTTTATGGGGCTAACAGCTTCCAGGCAAAACATATTATTAATGTCTTTTCACTTGGCTCTACCTCAAGTCCAAATTTGTAGAAGAAGTAGTTGATGAAGTATTTGATGAAGCATATGATGCCGATGTCCAGATGCTGTCGTGTGATATCATGGAAGATAATCCTGGCAGCAGGAGGCGACAATTTGTTCCTCAGTCTGAAGTATTCCTGATGGCGGTAGATGGTCACCTCGAATGCTAACAGACCCAGCATCAAGAGGTTGTTCTGCACAGATGGTGACGGAGAGAATATTTTAAATATGTTTTTCTATTGTTTTAAAATACATGCTGAGGGTTTAAACAACTGATTATTGAAGTTATTTTATTCATTTATCAAATAAGAGCACTAAACTTTTGCTGATTTTTAGTTTAAAAAGCAAAGTCTGGATAAAGATAAAGCTGCAGTTGGTAACTTTTATGAAAATAACCTTGTGTCATATTTGCTGAAACTGTCACTATATCTTGAAAAAAGTACAAAAGACAGATACTTTGTGAAAAAGTCTCTAACGCAGCTGTCAATCATGTCAATCACTCCATGACCTGCAATTAAACTGCTTAACTAGACTCCACTGATCAAATATGAATCAAGATTCTCAAACTACATCACCTGTTTCTTGCCTCAAATGTTTTCAGAAATATTTTGACATATTTTAGTCTACTGTTTAGCTGTTTGTGACCCGGCCACCATGCTGCAAATAGTCAAATACCAAGCCCCACCCAACGGTCAGACCAACTTTCTCATCTCTAAAACGCTAAACAGTACACTAAAATATGTTTCTGAAAACATTTGAGGTGAGTAATCTTTAAGTTCTAGAATCTTAATTCAGTCGCTGCTGGTCCCAGCTTCATATTTAACGAACAGATATGACAGCGGTATCAACCTTATCTTCTAACTCTCAGAAAGAAAAGCAAATAGATGCATTTCACCAAACTGTGAACTATTCCTTTGAGTAATTACTTTTATTTTAATGATCACACTCTCATAATTATTGTTCCTGTCTTGCTATGATTATATTCTGTGTATATTGCAAACTTCAGCTGATGAATGTTTCCACTTCTCACCCTGAGGTAGCCCAGCAGGTCACCAGACTTATCCAGGCCCACCCAGTTGGCTGGATCCACTAGTTCCTTATACAACAGAGATTTATCCTTCAGTTCAGTCTCCTGGTCCTTTGGGTAGCCTCCTGGCTGTCGACAGAAAATTTCAGTGCATAAAATTAAATTAAAATTGATTCTTAGTGCAATTAAGAACAGTAAAGTTAATGTCCAGTAATATGCTGTGTACACAACAAGCATCTTCTGATTATATTCACCACAGTGCAGTTTTTGGAGTAGGATGGTGGGTTTATAGACTTCAGCTGGTACAACATTTTGCACACGATGATGACACATGTCCAGACAGTGCAAACACTGGAGGCAAGGGGTCGATACTGGCTGTAGGGCAATGCAAAGGCCCAGGATGCCAGGAAGACATAGTTGAACAAAGACACCTGTACAGGAGACAATACAGATGATGAACAGCTCACTTAAATCCTTTGAGCACTACATTCTCCGCTTCCTCCTCCTACTGCAACTAGTGTTAATATTTTTTTGTATACCATTTTTCAAAACACTTTTACACAGCGCTTTACATAAAAAAACAGGTGAAACTAGAAAAGTGCTTTCAATTGAGTGCAGATCTCTGCCAGGTAGTAAAGATGCATAAAAATCGTGCCATTATAACGAAGCATCCTGGGTTCGTCTGATTGTATAAATTTAATATGGAAACAATAAACTGCATGATAAGTCCAAACTTTTCAATTTAAACAATGTTATTTATTTAGAACATTTTACTGTAACACACCACACAAAATAACACATTAACAAGTTGTCCCTCCCAGCTTCCTTACAGACAAGATGGCAGTGAACATTAAAAAAATAAATGAATAGATGTTTTAAGCACATCGTATCGTGCTTAAATTTAGTGGATCAAAACATATCAGGCATGGATGTTTTCTGTAGATGCTCTGGTTCAAAATGAGACCAAGCTTTTCTGTGGATGTCAGTCTTTGAGCCACGAGAAAGGACAAAATATGGCCTGCAACAGACTAGGTAGGGCTTGTTGTTTTTAGCCAAGTTGATTGCCAGAAATGCCAAACTGAAACGGTTGATTATCACTTGCTGTCCCTACCGTCTGTTCAAAGCTACAGTAGGTAACTTAAATAAAAATAACTATGTTAATTTGCTAAAGCTGTCACTATATCCTGACAGAAGAACACGAGGCAGAAACTTGTGAAAAATCAGGATCCTCTGGTTCCTCCTAGTGCTCCTAATGGCATTTGCCTGAACAAAACTGACCAATCAGAGTCAGGAGGAGGCTCTATCGCCGCTATCACACACACGTTACGCAGCCGCCCGCCCTCAAACATGCTCTCACCTACTCCGGCTTAATATCTTCAGCGTGCGGCTTCAGGAGGAGCTTTGCAAACACACTGGCTGAGAAACAACCACCAGCAATGAAATAATGGCTCACATCTCCTTTACTAACAGTTGTGTACGCAGAAAAGACAAGTAAACAGAAGAGGACCAACGGCAAAAGGCGAGCCTTCACATTTACACGTCTTGTACAGTTATCAGTGCAGCATGCGCCAGTGCAGTGTCTCTGTCTCATGTCCTACTGTAAGAATACAGTGACAGTTTCAACAAGTAAGACAAAAACTTTTTTATAAAAGTTACCTACTGTAGCTTTAAGAGGAGTGTCAGCAGACAATGACAACATTAAACAGTCAATAAAACAGGTTTTTAGAAAATTGTGAATCACCACAACCATAAGAAGTCTGTCAGCATACAGTCATATATGTGCAAAAAAATATTAGGTTTATTGGTCTAGTAGTATTGAAGATTAGTTGCGGACAGACAGATACACACAAACACACACTTATACACTAAAACATGACCGAACGTGTGCTTCCCTCCAGCCTTACGCCTGGCAGAGATAAAAAGTAATAAATAATGTGAGGCAATTCAAAAAAATAAAAAACGCATGCATTAAATTCAAGGTCAAGATCCCTATATAAAAGATCATTACGTTACATAAATCTATGTCTATAAAATGGAGTTTTATAAGGATCTAAAGCCTGAGGAGCTTATCCAGGCTAAACCCCTCAGTCAGAGTCAGAGCCTTGATGGTTTCCATCAAGAAAGTCTACCAGTTATTACAGTTCGCCCAAATACCCCAAAACTATTATCTGGCGAGTCTGTGGCACACAAGACAATCCTGGCTTATTTCAGATTGGTTCAAGGTGGCTTTGTACTGCATGAGATCAACTTTATACAGCATACAAACAATAAAATCAACCCAGAAAACGGGAGCAGTGCCCAGTGATAATGTAGGTATTTGTAATTATTGATTCTTCACCTCAGAATTGTATTAACGGTTTTTGGTTGTAGAAAATCATGACATGGTAGTCTTTTATTTAAAAGCAAATGAATAACTTCCCATTAATTTTACATGCTACAAAAATTACACAATGAATTTTTTGGCAGTGTATCTTGCTGCACAATGTATACCCGATGATGTGAAAACACTCAAGAAATCCACTTTAAAAAGCAGCTTTCATCTACCATTGAAACATTGCTAACGACATCTAGTGTGTGCCAAAAAACTCCAGACTAAGAGTGAAATAATCAGCTGTTAATTCAAGTGATCTGCGTGCAAATAATACATGTTGTAAGGATTTTAATTTGTGATGTTGAGTTGGAGTGGCACAAGGAATATTACAGCAGTTAGAACAGTTTTCAAAATTTAACAAAGAAATATAGATTATAGCTCAATCGATGCTCAATTTCTGAGGCTGATACTTGGAGTTAAAAAAAAAATCTGATAAAAATGTATCAGTCAGTAGGTTCAAAGCCAAGAGAAAAACTGCAAGGCCATCTGGAAGCCTTATACATATACCTACTGGGATGACAGGCTACTGTTGAGGAGAGACAAAGTCAATCAAAGTCAAATATGACTGATAAGTGAGTGTGACTCCCTGCTGTTTGCTGCAGATATTGGGCTTTGTTACGTAGAGTTATCTCATACCTCTTTGACAGAGACCAGGACGATGTAGCAGGACACGATCTTGATGATGTGGATCTCCAGTAACCACCAGATGAACAGCTGCAGTTTGTGGAAGTACTCCAGGAACTTGAGGAAGAGCACGGTCAGACGGTCGACCACCAGGTGCCATTTATTCTTCAGATCTAAAGAGGAGGAGATAAAACACAGACACACTTAAATGGAAAAACAACATGACTTAAGAGGTGCAAATGTATGAGAGTGGTTCCAGGTTTCATCTCTTAATTACAGCAGTATGTCCTCTGTTTAAACACTATTACTCCTCTGCTGCCATTTCGCTTAGGTGTCTTCTCATGCATCAACACAAGCTGGAACAGACTGATAATACGATTCTGTCTTTAGGAACAAGTCTAACAACCTTTTGTGTTTATCTTTTTGTTAACATATTACGTGATGTTAACAAGTGCTGTCTGTGTAGCCAGAGTCTGATATATCTAGATCAAACCCACATACAGTACACTGTCCTGCTGCCATAAATGCATACAAATCCACAGGTGAAAATAAACCCCAATAAATGCTGTTTTTAGTCTGTTTTGTACGGCCTTTATTCTTTGAATGGTGTCCTGGATAGTCAGAGCGTATTTCAATAAATATTTTCCCCCCAAACACACTAAATGTCCCACAAAGCTACATTTGAGGTTGTCAGAGACGCATTTGATCACAGTAATGATAAGTTGTTGATACATTAACAACGATTAATCGATTAGACCATCAAAGATAATAAGTGATTGTTTAAATGAAGTTTCATAACAAGATTTGGGAACAAAGACCACGCCTCAGACGGATTCATTTCCGTTCTACGGGTACTTAAGCACGCCTCATCCGTTTCCTCATCCTTAGACTCTGTTTCCACATCCTTCCCTCCCCGACCCCCTATTTTCTACTTCTCTCCTTGTTTGAATTCAGGAACCGGGGGGCTCTGTACACCAGGAGCCTACGAGAGACTGTTCCCCCACCCAGAGTCTCAACCCTGCCTGGTTCCACCCGGTCTTGCAGCCACCAGCTGACTCTGCCAAACCAATCCGTCCATCCACACCTAAACCCCACATCCTCCCCACCACTTCCTCTCATCCCGTACATCCCTCATCCAATGACCCCTCATCCCTCTCCCCTCATCCCACATCCCTTAACCTTCATCCTCTACCTGCATCCCTCCATCCCACAACCCTCAATCCCCGTTCCTCACCCTATATCCTGCATCCCTTACCCTCATCCCCCTCCTTCATCCCGCATCCCTTTACCCTCATCCCACCATCCCTCAAACCCCAACCACTTCCCCCTTCCCTCCTTACCTTCATCCCTCTTCCAGAACGCTACTTCATCATTTAAGCTCTCCTTAATCCATCATAACCAATGTTTATATGCAATCTATACGTTGCTGTGGTCTTTGTTAGCGAACCATAAATGATAAAACTTCAGTAATTCCAGTTTCTCAAATATTATATTTTTCTGATTGTCTTGGTTCTCCATTATAGTAAACTGAATACAGTTGGTTTTTGTGGTATTTGTTGGATAAAATTATATATCTCAAAATGTCACCCTGGGATTTAAAAAATTATTATGTGCCAACATTTTAGAAGCAAAACGATTAATCAAGTAATAAAATAATCTGTAGATTATTTGATTGTGAAAAAAATCATTAGTTGCTTCTTGTTTTACCTTTATATACTTTTACTATACTTTAACTTACAGTCTTACAAGCTGTTTACACCTACTTCTTATTAAGTATGTGCATTTACAACTGTTTCCATTAAGGTTATTGATTTGCAAATACTGTACTTTCTACAACACATGTATATTACTTTATTTTATATTTTATTTATGTCACATTTTGTCCCTAATTTTAACCTTGCCACTTAATGCTTCTTGAATTCTCATTTAGATGTTGTTGTTTTTTTAATTTGTTTTTTTCTTTTTTAATACATATTAAATGGTCTTTGCAGGAGGAAGATGAGAGCCAAGATTTTCATTACCAGTGCCTGCTTCTATGTAATTGTTGTTTTAATATATAATAATAACAAAAAACTTTTACTAGAACTTGAACTTGAGCTCTACAAACTCATCGTATACATTAATATGCAAACAGGCGAGTGCAAATCAGGGAAGAAATTAGGTTTTTATTGTTTGTGTTGAAGGTTAAAATCAAAGAGATGTGTGCGACAATCTGCATTTTAGTGAGGGAAAGAGAAATTTCAACACGTACACCATTTTATGGGGTCAGCGTAATAGCTAAACATGTGTTTTTCATGTATTCTGAAACTGTAAAATGTTTATGTAATTTTTTCCCATATGCAGTGTGTCAAGGTGAATGGAAACACACCTAAAATCTGTATAACAAGTAAACTACAAACAGTTGTTTTAATTACCTGAGAATGAAGACTTAATATTTGGTTTTATATTCTCACAAAGGATATAAAACCTTCAGCCGCAGTTTGGTAGCGGGTGCATGTTATTACAAAAGCCATACTATCTCAGGTTTTTAATAGAGGCCTCATTGTTTGGATAAGCAAACTCTGAGAGGGCATATAGCTGGCATAGCTCGCAGCTCATTATAAACGGAGAGGCCCTGCAGGGTCGAGTTTTATCACCTATTTTATTTTCTGTGTATATAAACAACATTTTTATTTAGGACCCATGTGACTGTCTGGGTAAATATGCTAATGGTGCAGCGTTAGTTGGATTTAGCCGGACAATGTAATGGGTAAGAGTCTGCATTTGAGCTACACTCCATGTCAGAACAGAAAACTGGAGGTAAATCTTACTGAACCCAAAAATCTGCAATTCAACGGATTTTTACAGCTTTGCACGGGATGATTAATGACCAGCTGGGGAGAGTGCAGGCACCAGATACTTGGACAGCAGACTGAGCTTGTCTAGAGGAATGTTGGCCTTTAAATACTATATGCAACATATGTCTTCTGAGCAAGCTGGAGAGCCGCAGGCTGAGAGAGATCTGAGACATGAGGTCTCTACACTTGTGGCTGAAAGTGCTCTGCAGTTGCTACATAACAGCAACACATGTGAGTCTCAGCTGTAAACACAGCGAGAGGAAGTAAACATGGCTGGCAATGTGGGAAGCTTCAGATGAAAACATATGAGATGCTGGAGTATTTAAATACAAATCTGCAATGTGATCAGCCACACAGCCTCTAGACGAGCAATTTTATCATCATATGAATTTGTTTTGATGTTTGTTTACTCTCAGGCACTTTAAACACAATTTAGAAAAATGAGGAGATAGAGTAATGGCATGCTACACTCTTAAACCCACACATTGGTGTATTTACATGATATAAGTAACAAGTAAACCATCAGGGTGCCTAAATGACACATTTACAGTAGCTATAAAGAGAGATACACATTATTTAGAATACCACTGTGTACATTTACTCAAGTACTATACTAAAAGGTCCACTGTGTAGGATTTAAGGGGACATATGGGCAGAAACGATTAATATTTATAACTATGTTGTCATTAGTTTATGACGATTATGGATTATGATGATTTGCAGTTTTATAGGGGTATTTCTAATGTTATTTATTTATTTATCTTTGTGTGTGTCCTACTGCTATGTTGGGTATTATGTTGATTTGTCCATGTACTAAGTTGTATTTCTATGGCTGCAGTATGGGTGTAGGGCCCAAGACTATTTCCCACTCTATGGGACAACAAAGTTAATCTTGATCTTGATCTTATAATCACCTGAAAATAATAATCTATGTGTTTTTGTTACCTGAAACTTTGCTTTTCTGTTGATACCATACTGATATCATCCTTCATGGAGTCTGCTATGTTGTTTCTATAGTAGGCCAGAACAAACAAACCAAATTTTGCCTCTAGACAGAGCTGTTAGCTTTCTCCTGTCTCCTACACACTTGACACATGGGAGAAGTTTCGACTGGTTTCATTCTGAGTCCTCACTGCTAGATGCTACTAAATCCTACACAACTGACCTTTAATAATTTGTATAGTTTTGAGCTACTTATGCCTTACTTTAGTATTTCCATTGTATACTACTTTATGCTTCTACTCCACTACATTTTGGAAGCCAATACTTACTTTGCAGATTCCTAATATTATTACAAAATATAGTTAACCCAAAAAATTATGCTGTGTTATTATAGGTTAAGCTAGCCAGCTCCACTTTTACCAGCTGCAACATTAAAGTGATGAACACGTTAATGCATCAATAATTATAATCCAATTATAAAATGTATATTATTCTGAAATGGGCCATTCTCCATAAAGCGTAGTTTTAATTTTGGTACTTTAAGTATATTTTAATACTAACACATTTGTACTTTTGTACTGTTCTAATCAGTATGTCATAACTGGACAATATTATTTTATCAAAACAGTTATTGCTATTCTGCTACTCTAAAGGTGCACTAATCAACATAGCACCACACTGGACGACACTGTTTGTTTTTTTTGTTTTTGGGGGTTTTTACCCCAGAATGCTCAGTCACCACTGAGACAGCGACGCTTAAAGTGAAGCTCATTCCCATAAAAAATAAAATGCACAAGTATAGTGTTTTTTTATTGCAGACTGGCTGCATCCACCATCTACTTTCATCAAACAGTGACTGAGTGACTGAGTGACAGTGTTCGGCATGACTCTATAGTACATCAGCTGAAGGGGAGAAAGGTCGGACCAGCAAGCTGAATATTGTAGCTCTAAATGCCACTCTGTTTGTCATTACCGTTAGTATCAAACTAATGTCTTGTCTACAACATCTCAACTTTTTATAATTATATATCTGTAACATGGACACAGATTTTAATAGATTGTCTGACAGTAGTTAGTTGTAGTCCTAATATGATTCTCATTGTATTCACTTTATAGAGCTGCTGTGTCGCAGCTGCTCAATACCTGAGCTCTGCTCGGTGCTCGGTTCTGGCTCGGTCCCTGCGCTGCAGTGGTGGCTCTCGTCTGTACTGGACTGCCGCTGGTCAGACAGGCTCCTGGGCTTCTCCTCAGTCATCTCAGTGTCAGACATCACCACCACCAGGGTCTGCTCCTGCTCCTGCTCCTTCTCCTTCTCCGTCCCCGACTCCCCCTGCTCTTCCTGCTCCTCCTGCGGCTCCTGTTCCTCTCTCTGCAGCGTTGCGTCCACCGAGCTGGCGCTGAGCATGGTGAGGTCTGCCAGGCTGCCATCCTGGTGCACCAGTCTGAAGACGTGTGAAGAAGTTATTACAAACAGACACATGCGTGCAGACTCAAACACACACATCTGTATCTCTATACTTATGAGGACCTCGAATGACTTGGATTTTTTTTACCTGGTTGGTGTTATTTAGAGGGGCATTTTTTGTCTTTATTTAGGGGCAATTTTCAAGACTAATCAACGTCCATTTAGTAGCTATTCTGGAGCCTTCAATCATATCACATGATCCCCCAGTAATGAATGAAATAAGATTAGAATTGCTTTCAAGATTACTTCCTTGTTAACTTTAGCTTCAAATGTCATTGAACGTCTGACCCTGCCAACATTTTAAAAAAGAAGTTGCATTTTATGCTTTTTAAGCCTTTCTTAGAGACAGCAGAGAGACAGATGCAACAGAAATCCCCAGACAGACTCATGGTCATCATATTAACCCCAAAGATCTTTATTTTTCATATAAAAAACTGACCTACTCCTTTATCATTCAAATATATGTTGTTCTACTAGAGTAACCTTAACTTTAACCTTACAGAAGGCAAACTGAATCTGATCTTAAAACTAAACTCCAATTTAAAGAAATCAGGGCAGGGAAAATTTGTATATATCTATTTAATGTATAGATATAATTTATGATATCTAATTTCCTCACACTCCTCCCATCTTTTTTGAAGGCATTCTGTCCTCATGAGTATATAAATACAACAAACTCTCATACACATGGTCCAGGTGACTGTCAAAAGGTTCCGATGCAAATGTTTGGATGGGAATCATCAGCTCTGTGTCTGCTAAAAGAGGAGCAGAGCAGCATTGCACCAGGCATTGTAATCGATAAGCAGTGCACATTCCTTCTGCATTCTTTAAAACAATCTGTGTTGTTTGGGTTTTTATGTGTGTGTGTCAGGAGGATTTTTCTTCTTGCAGCAGAAATGGTAGCAGCTGAGGGGAGGCAATAACCCTTTAAATTCTTCTCAGGCAATGGAGCGAGGTCAAAGGTCAGGTTTGGCTTGCATGAACCGGCTGCATATCAAGGCAAACATTTCCAGTGGTCACACTTACTTGCTCTGCTGAGTGGGAATTTTTTGCTTGATGCTGTCTCAGAACAATAAAGTTACACAGAAGTCAAGATGAACAGTGAGGCGAGAAACCAAAAAAGGCAGGCTGGAAACTGACACTTGAAATCGCTTAAAAATATCCATGACTTTTATTCAAATGCATGAAAACTGGCCAAAAGGCTCCTGTGGTTTGGGGTAGGCGAGCTTTTTCAGGAAGGGGGTAATTTTTGGGGTTAAGTGCAGAAAAGTGGGCGAGAGGCAAGATACTGGAAGGGTAGAACAATTCTTTCATACTCAAACATGCTTGTTTTTAACAGTTTGTGAAACAATTTGAGAGCGGTGGAGGGTTTTATTGGGAAAAAGGCCTGGGCTGGATTTAGCTGGTTTAAAATCCAGACAGATAACACAGAACTCAAAAAGAAAAGGCTACAGGCAAAATAATAACATACAAAACCTGAAAACAAACACCATTCATGTCAGTAAAATACCTAAACTTAAGAGTAGGATGTTTCAGAGGAGAATCAATCTGTCATCATCGGCAAAAATTGGGGGAAAGGGACAAGTCGGTGTGGAGGAAAAGGATGTATTGATACAGGAAGTTGAGACTCAGAGGTGAACTGGGATGATGACGGATGCCACAGAAAGCGAGCAGATACCCACCTATTCATGATCAGATAGACACGTTCATTGACTTTAGTGTGGCTGTGTGAAAAGGGTGGCAGAGGAGAGAATGACAGCAGGTCACAGAGAGAGCAGAGCAAAGAGGTGCTGGGTGAGCGGCGGCGAAACAATGGAAAATCCATTGTTTCCATCCAAAAAGAACATGACCGTAAAGTTAAACACACCACACCACAGACTGCAAAACTGTGAATATTATAACATGAAGCGCATGAAAGCACACACAAAGACAGATGCTTAATGAAAACAGTGGTTAAAATGGGTGTTTAACTGGGTGTGTTAAGTGCGATTATCCAAAATAGTTTGAGATGAAAAGGGATGAATGTTTTCGCCTCACGCTCAACTAAGATCTGTTCGGTTTAAAGGAATAGTTCGGATTTTTTGAAGTGGGGTTGTATGGGGTATTTCCATACCATAGTCAGTGTATTACCTACAGTAGATGTCAGTCGGCATGCCCCCAATTTGGAGAAGCAAGCTGTAGTCTGACACTAAAGCTAAGCAATGTACTGCCTTGGATGAGGGTCAGCAACAAAACATATTTTATCATCATTATTATCAGTTCAAGCGTATGCTACATTGACAGTAATTCCACTGCTTTACCTTTCCATCAGACAGCCTGTTTAAATGGGGAAATCGTTAACATGCGCTGATAAAAAGCCACCAGAATTCATTGAGAAAAATCATAATTTTAGCTAGCTGAACACGAGAGCTGCTGGACTACCGTTGCCTTGATCAGTTAGTTAGTTTGTGTTATTGTGTGACTTTGTTGAATCCAAAATCATCCTTTTAAATGCCAAAGTCACACAATAACACAAACTAACTAACTGATCAAGGCAGCGGTAGACCAGCGGCTCCTGTGTTAAGCAATATTAAATCACTGTTTTTCTTAATGGGGTCTGGCTTTGAAGAAAGTGATATGACGGCTTCATTTTCCCATTGGAAATCACGGTCTGACATTGAAGTAAGGTAGTGAAAGTCCTACCAACATAGTGTACTCTTAAATTTATATATTTTTTTTTAGGTGGAACTTTTTTTAGATGGCTAAAACGCATTTTGTTACTGAACCTTATCCACAGCGGCTGATTGCTTAGCTTCCATATCGGGCTTCAGCCTGCTTCTCCAACATCTGCTGTTTGTTATACACCATCAGTGGATGAGTACCCCATATGACCCCACTTCCAAAAATCTATCCCTTTAACACGCATACATTGGCGGTTACTATTTTTGAATAATGGACATTATTTAGCAGTGATTCAGTATTAATGTTTAACAATTTTCAGTGAAATCCTGGTGATTCAGTCTGTGTCTCTCACTCTGTCTGTGTATTATTATATTTGTGTCACAGAGGGAAGCAGCTGCTTTCCTGAGGGATGCAGTGGTTTCTGATTTTATGTGTTGCACATTTTGTTGTGCTGGAAATGATGAGAGATTTTATATAAATAAGAGAGATTTAATGTTTTATAAATTGTCTGATTTGACAACTTTTACTGCTGTTTTTAAGGTATTTACAGGCTCATCAAAGTCTCCTCTATTTTGTGTGTCGCACAATAAAACTAATAATAATTCTAATGAACTGAACAAATGTTTGAGGCCTAAATTATTAAACACAAGCTGGTTGTGGTTAAAAACTAACAGAAGTGGTTACTGAACTTTACACAGAGAGTTTGGTCTGATGTATTGCACAACAGTTTGTTACTTTATATGTGATTTTGCATACATTTGCTGAATCGTAAAGTATTTTTATCTGACAATGTTTTTATTAATCCTAATAATTACTGAAATCTTGCTAAGCAAATCAATAAAGCGACTGATATTAGATCAGGTTATCTATGAACAACCTTTCTGTGTGGTCCTCTTACTTCTGTGCAGGAAACGCAATTTGTTTGTAATTCAGCCATATGAACTTTAACAAACCAGATACAAAAGAACAAAAAAGTTAGATTCTCAATAATGGTTTGGACCAAAGGAAAAAAAAAAACAGACTGCATGTCTCACCTGTAGATAGTGCTTTCCTCTTTGGCCACTACAGCCTGGAGATCGGTGAGCTGGAGGAAGCGGTCATGGAAGTAGTGCAGGTGAAGAATACACACCAGCAGGAAGGAGGTAGGAATGAAAATCCTGGTGAACAGCTTGGGGACATCAAACTTCTCCAGACCCAGATCCGCCAAGCTGTACGGATGGAAAAGTTAGAGGAAAGAGGAAAAACATGAGACTTGAACTTACATCTTGTTTTTGAGGTATAAATGTTATCCTGCTGTTATTGCTGCATTGAGGTTTGTGATTTACATTACTGTACTATACTATCACATATTCCCTTAAGCAAACAAACTAAGGTCAATGCAAACATGTAACAAGATTATATGCACCATACCTGATGTTAAGTGATTAAAAGCAATTTGAAAAATTAAACAGGACCAGGTAAAAACTAGATTTACTGCCTCACTGTTGTATGCCTCCACCAGTCAAGTTGCAGACCCATATAATATATGCGGTGAAGTCTTTGAATGAAATTAATTAAAAGTTTTAAATGTATTTTTTGGGCAAAACATGTATGTTTCACACACATCCTCAACCCAGCAGCACAGAAGATCTGTACAATCAGCAGTTTCAAGATTAGTGTCACCAATTCAGTATCTGACCACATGTCTCTCTCTCTCTGTTCCTGAGTTATGACCTTTAGTAATGGTCAGAAAAGTGTTTTTGCAGAACATTATGATGTCACAGGGAAGTTGACCTTTGACCTTCTGTCATCACGTCATTATTTTTTTCAGTTAGACATTTCTGTGAAAATTTGTCATAATTACCTATGAATTCTTGAGTTTTGTGAGGTCACAGTAACCTTGCCCTTTGACCTTTTACCACCAACTTCTAATCCATTCATCTTGGAGTCCAAGTGGATGTTCGTGCCAAATTTGAAGAAATTGCCTCCAGGCGCTCCTAAGATATTGTGTTTACAGGAATGAAATGGGCAACCGGAAAACATAATGAACCTAATTCACTAATATAAGCATAGAAATGTTCTTACTGTGCGCATAAAGTACGTGTGCAAGCAAAATTACCATTTGATTCATGACACATGTGCACCAATTTTTTCTTACCACCGTCTGCATGTTGGTGAATCAGAATCATTCTGAATTGACAGGTGCTTTTTCCATTTCTCTATATGATAGAATGCTTGCCTAGAGGTGTATCATGGAGAAAACCGCGAAGTTGTTTTTACACACATATTCTAGGCCCTGAAACACCATTGTCAGGTTGTCAGTGAGCGTCTGTGAATGTAATGGCACTTCACTGTAAGCTAGGACTGAAATACTGATTTTTTGTGGTTAATTTTTTTAAAGTATGACAATTATTGATGAGGATGAAGGGGCATCAAACAAGTGAATTAACCTTTTTTTAAATATTGTTGTCTATTAAAAAATCCCCCACAAATACAGCAAAGAGTGAATCTGTTTCACTTTTGCTAGTGAGTGTTTTTTCAAACAGTCACAGAGAATCCTGCATAGTACACCTTTAACATTTACATCTGAGAACACAGGGAAGGCTTGAGACTGTGTGTGTTGGAGCAACTACCAGTAATTTAAACTCTTACCGCTCTTTGCAATCATCTTTTTTCATTCCCAACATGTTGCACCAGAAGGACAATGAGCGATCAAACTGGAAGGTGTAGACCAGGGTGAGGACCAGCATGGTATACACCACCACCGACATCCAGAAGTACTTCAGGATCCTTCGCCACCACTCATAGTGCACCTGGATAAAAATAATTGTGACAACTCGATTTAGGCTGCTCTGTTTTACTGCGGTGGGTGTTGTAAAACAGTCGAGAATATACTGTAGAGAATACAGCTGTACATAACCTTTATGACACACTAAAATTGTCAGCACCTTCTGTCTTTGGGAAATTGAATTTGGAAACTTTACAGCTACCTACTTATATGCTAAATTCTGAAAGTAAACATGCAGAGCCACTTAGTAAACAGCAGAGGTGTGGACTCAAATCATGACTTAGACTTGAGTCAGACTCCAGTCACAAATTTTAACATTTAATATCAATGATTTGTGACTTCACTTGGACTTTTTGGCAATATTTTGAAAATACTTACTACCTTCCCCCAAGCCCAAAGATTAAAAAATGTAATTTAAAAAGTCAGTGAATTCCCTTAATTTCCTGAATCAACCAATTTTAACATTATGTTTTTAATTTTATTTAGACATGAGACATGCAACAACATTCAATATCACTTTAAAGGAAGAACAGTCAACAGAAAATGCTGCAAATTTGGGAAGAGAGAGATAGAGACATTTTACTAATATAAGATGAAGTAACTACAAGAAAACAGGACAGAAACAGACAAAATTTGTTCTGGTTAATAGTGCTTTATGCTATTAAAGTACAATGTCAGCACTACGCCTTTTCATGATTAAGTTCAGTCACACCTGTTTTAACAAATAAATAGTAATTTATAAAAAAAACAGTCACGCTTTTTATAAAATTAATATATTATTATTCTGTTGTTAAAGTGGCATTACATATCCTGAAGAGCGCATTATGACTTGTCCAAGACTTGAAACTCAAAGTTTATGACCTGGGACTTGACGTTGGACTTTCTGTCTTGACTTGAGACTTGACTTGGGTCCGGAATACAAAGATTTGAGACTACTGATTTGTAAAACAATGATTTGATCCCTCCTCTAGCAAACAGCCTTTTTGTAACTGATCATAGTTTAATTAATCCAATATAGTTCCAAATGACAGAGGTCATCAAACTTTTTTGGCCTGAAGATTTGTGCAAATTTTAAAATAATGTAATTAATGTTATTTAGTTAAGATCCAAAATATTCAATACATACTACATATGTCTGTCTGAATTATCTAGAAATGTTAACTATACATTAGGAAATGTGTATAAGTTTGACACATCAAAGCAGCTATAAAAAGTGGTATTTACCATTTCAGACAAAACTGTGTGTGTGTGTGTTCAATTGTGTGCTTCAATAAGTAGATACAGAATCTATTGAAGGAATGTGGAACAAAAAAAGACACATTTCAAGGTAAAATTACTCTGCTGCTATGAAGGGAAAGGAAAAAATAAACTCTCCCATTGAGAGATTCTGGATGACCAGTGAAAAAGCAGTGCACATCAGAATGGCTAACATAGGAGGAAACATTGACAAGAATCAGCCATAGATGTTTGAGCCTCAGTCAGACCCAACCTCAGATGAGGAGTCTGTTGTGCAACTTCGCCAGCATTTCCATATTAGGCAGTGACGGGCTTTTTTATTAGTGATGTACCTGATCTAGCCTGCCCAGCGTACATCTGAATCTCATTGGAGAAACCCCTTGTAGTGACGAACTTTGCTCAGATAAAAGTCAGTATAGTCAAGCTCAGACATTTTTGGGCACATAAACAAAAGAAAAAGACATTTTTGAATGTAGGTGATTTTTCACATTAAAGATAACTAAGGGGAAATTTAAGAGAAACACTGTGAATATGTGACATAGTATGTGTCCAAGGCACTCACAGTTGTCTGTGTGTTTTTGTACCTGATAAAGCGCCACACAGGAGAGGAACATCATCATGTAGATGATCTTGTACATGACGATGGTTCCCTCGAAGCTGACGATGAAGAACATGCCACCACAGATGTAAATCCAGTATTTGACCAGCAGAGCCATGACCATGTTGCCCAGAACGTGCATGATGTCCTGCTCTCCTCCCTCCTCAGAGTCCTCTTCCTCTATAAAACACAGCAGCCAATCAGAAAGCTCAGCACTAACTGACCAATACTGATGAACTTTTCAGTGAGCTATCAGTCAACAGACCTTTAACTTGTATATATACACACATATACACATATAGTAAAAAAACTGTGCAGGTGAAGTACAGTAGGAAGTTGTAGGTGTTTTTTTCCCCAAAATTTCAAAGAACAAATTACATTCATCTTAACAAACAATGTATGGCAATGTGGTTACACTGTTTTTAAAGTATTTTTGTCTTTTAAATTTTCAGCAACACTTTTGCTGTATTTTACTTACTTTATTTTTTTGAGGTCACAGTGACCTTTGACCACCAAATTCTAACCAGGACGTTTGTGCCAAATTCTAAAAAATTCCCTTAAGGTGTTTGAGATATCACATTCATGAGAATGGGACGGACAAACAGACAACCAAAAAATATATTGCCTCTAGCAGGAGTTGTATCAGGGTTGCCATGGGCCCCCCTCCTCGGTGGCACCAGTGGATTAAAGTAAGGCATTTCCAAAGTTTTTAAAATGTAAACAAAGATGGTGCAAACTTGAAAAATTTAGATGTTTTGGGAACATATTTGAAGGGTCTGAAAAGTCTTATCTGACCATGGGATTTATTGGTAGGAATGGTAATCAGACCTAAAGCCCTCATGAACATTTCAGTCACCAGAAGTAGCTGCAAAGTCGGTGCTCCACGCATTCATGCAGCTCTCCAGGATAAAATCATTTCACTATGTTAGGTCCTCTCATCTGTTTGGGAAAGATGTTGTACAGGCAGCTGCCCGGAGGAAGAAAATCTTTGATTGGTGAGGCTCAGAGATGCTATCTTCTGCCTTCTGCTGAGAAGTGGTGAATTTACGACTCACAGCAACTCTATACAATACAGCCTCTTGCTTTTGTTTGATATCTAGTGTCTGCAAAAAATGCTGTTGCACATTTTCGATCTGTCCTTTGCGTAGTTAGCACACATTAGCTCGGAGGGCTAACATGGCTTGTTTACTATATAACATGAACGTCGATGTCACACTAAGTGTCCCACCGAACCCCACTCAAAAATTTGACAGGTGAATTAAGTGTTGCTTGATAGTCTATATGAACGAAAGAAACAAATCTTCAAATATTATTATTGAACAGCCAAATCCAATTTGACTGACAAAATTCTAAGTTGAATACAGCCCTAATTTCTTCTATAATCTATCTAAAATAAGAGCCCAGTGCTTACCCTTCTTCTTCTGATCTTCCACATGGACGTCTGAGAGACCAGCACTGTCTTCCTTTTGTTTTTCCCGTTTCTCTGTAAGCGTTTGTCTCAGTAGCAGCCAGAAGCTCAGCAGACACAGGACCTACACACAATAAATAAAATGTTTAGGCAAACAGAAAAGAAAAGATGAACCAATAAATCATTTGCATTTACCTTACCTTAGTGAAAGCAATATAGACGGTCAAAACAATGAGAGGAGACACATCAATCAGAATTCAGTTTCTAAACTTGAATTGGATCGTCTAAACTCTCCTGCTGGTGTTGCATTCATCTGGCACTTTAAATAAACTTTAAAATACAGTTTGACCCAAGTGTGAAATGTAATTGCAAGGCAACATATGCACTGTTTAATCAAACTGATGAGTGATAAAAAACACACCACTGCAGGTCTGTGGTGACCGACTGATGTGTGAAATCTCAGTCTAGACACAGTTAGGTCTGTGAGCTATATCAAAACATGTCAAAACACTACAAACCTGACCTTCTCCTTCAGCAGCACACTGTACGACTGTCCTCTCTTATTTAATTATTGACTATTAGAGACACACAGTCTGACAGTATAATCCACTAGCTGCACACAGAGCACATCTGCACATCTTAAATCACATTTGTTCTCACATCAAAGGTCATCACTAAATCTAAAAGATCATAGTAGACAGAAACACATAGCAATGTCAAAATCAAAAAAAAAATCTTTAACTTCCAAACCTTGGATGAAAGTGAGTGGAAAGGGTTTTTCTTCTTGACAAAGAAACCAGGGACTGGGTCTAGGTTCTCAAAACTGTAAATGTACTGCAGAACTATCAGCAGGTTGCCGTAGGCCACCATGAAGGGCGAAGACAGCATGGCGTATCTCCGTCGATCCCTCACCATCCACAGCATGCAAGACCAGATGAGGAAGACAAACGTCAGCCAGCTGACGTATGTGATGCTCCACGCCTGAAGAAAACAAATCACAGAAAATTTAAAACAAGTGCTGAAACTCTGCTGCGGATGAACAACTAATGAAGGACAAACACTAAGATCTGTGGGCTGTTTTCACTCCCTTCATTTACACAACATTCCCTTCATCAAACAAACACAGAACTTTAAACCAGGAGAGAAACATTGAGTTCACAAAGATACCGTTACATGACATATGTCATATTCGACATACTCATTAACACTTATATAAGTTACCCGACACACATACTTATTGTAACCCAAACAATCTTTTTTTCTTAAACCTCACAAAATTGTATTGTTGCCTTAATGTGATGAAACATTTTTGTAATTGTGAACACAGACATTTCTTTTGAAAAGACACTGTGCATGTAACAAGTGGATATTGACATGTCGTCCTTGAGGATTCAAAACTGATGCTAGAGGGGTATCTACTGTAGAGCATCATATTTTGAAGGGTAGGGCCACCAACCAAGCCACTGTGTTTGGCGAGCTGGGAGTGAGAATGTGTTGGCATCAATCTACGCCCAAGGCCAAGAGATGAAAAGTAGCATTGTGCTATATCTGGTGCAACTTATCAACTGTACACTTTCCCCTTTTCAATAAACCAGTAAATGAAATGAAATGGCTTACTTTTGATACAAAAAAAGTCTAAATTTAATTTTTTGATTAGTCCAAGCTGAAGTTATGAGGCCATCCCCCTTGTTAGCAAAATGACCAAAATGTGCCCTCCTTGTTAAACTGCCATCCTGCTCCATCCCCACCAAGGTCACTAACAGGTGGACTGCGGTCTGGGTCGAGACCTAGAAGCTGTCCTATCCTGACCAGGACCTATAACCAATAAATTATTGAGAATTATTCAATTCTGACGGAGCGTTTCTGTTTTAACTGGCCCAGGAAACTCACAGTTAACTCACAGGTGTTGCACATATCAAAGTTAAACTCAGTAACTTAATAACATGTATTTACCTATGATTAATTCAGGAATGTTTTTAGAGCAGATGCCCTTATTCAGTACTATCCTGTCACACATCCACATAAACTTGTTACTTGCTGGTCATAATGCTGCGTTCATGTCAAATTAAACTGTAAATATAAACCTGAGGCTGGAAAACAAGAGTCACATCGTCAATGCCACGGTTTTAAGAGGGGTGTGGAGAGGTTTTGTCTGTTTGTTTTGCGGATTTGGTTTCGTCAATTACATTCACATTAACACAGCCAACTTTGCTGAATGAGAGTCATTTTTGCAACAGTTTGTTTATGGTCAATTTTAAATTCACAAACAAAAGTGATTTTGAATGTTTTTATTTCAAATACACAACTCAAACGCAGCCAGCTTCTGCAGCTCCAACGCTACACCATCTGCGGGCTGCATTACTCACCATCATGGCTATGAGAGCACAGATGTAGCTCTGTTTCATGACGAAGTGGAAGATTTTGACCATTGCACTGACTCCTCTTTCCTTTATCCCATCCTCTCCTTCCTCAGACTTCTCCTCTCCTCCCTCCAACGCTGAATCCTCCGGAGGCAAACACACTTCATACACACACTCCTCCTTCTTCCCTGGTTGGACACAGAAATATAACTCACTGTTAGAGCTGTTACTAGAACTTTGTGGCATTAATGAGTTAAGTGAGGCACTCTGGTGATTTAGAGTCCAGCTCCTATAAAGTTGAAAACTGCAAGACACAAATCTGAAAAAGAATAGTCAAAATCTGTGCAGCAGACTCCAAGACATCCTGACTTGTACACAAGAGTATGGGACAAAGATTTATCATCATGGGCAATGAATATACGTAGAAACTTTCATGGCAATTCATCCAATAGTTGTGTGTGACTGGCCGACACACCAGCACTGCCTACCAGCATGGCTTAAAAACTGCAGTCTCCAAGCCCAAAACTAGACTGTACAGAGCTCCATCAGTAACACAAGTTATTAAACAGCTGTGTTCACAGGCTGTTGAGTGCCCTCCCCCCCAGTGACTAGTAAGCTGACTGTGACACATAAAATCAGCCAAGTACCCCTTTAGACAATTCTGTGAATTCAGTGCTAACAAAGTGCAAAGTGAAAGTGCAAAGAGTCAAGATGGTGTTGAACAATCAAACAAAGGAATTTAATGATTTCTGGTGCAGTTTGGTGTTTTTAAATACACTATTAATATGTCAGAATACAACCAAAACATAATGGGGACGGATTTCAAAATGTCTGCTGTTTTTTTATACTGTATGTTTTGCTCCATAAAACTTAATGTCACCCTCCCATAAACTCCAAACAGCCAGAATGTGAGTTTTGAGCTCATCCACCTGGATTTAAAAGGAGCTACTAAACATCAGTGTCAGCTTTTCTCTCAACCCATAAAGAACCATATAACACTCTGAAGTAAGCTTACATAAAATACAATAACCATAATATGCAATACAAGGGTTTCACATAACAAAAGCACTAGTTTAGGATAGACTTTCAGACAAATATATGAACCAATATATGCGTAAACCTGCTTCAGTAAATTCTATGTTACACCATCTGTAAAATAAGATACAGAATGAGCTACAATCTTATAATTTTATAGTATAGTAATAGAGTTTTAGTGTGTTTTCTACAGTAGTTCCTCATCATTGAGTTTGAAGGTTTTAAGAATAATTAGAGAGGAGGTGCGGGTGGTTAACTGCTCACCTGTACCGTCATTGGGCTGATCCATTTTATACTGGGGGGTGGAGTACAAGTCCAGGCAGACTGGTCCATTCTCAGTCGTGACAAAGTCAAAGGACGTCCCATTTGAAGTGGGCAGAGCCTGTAGATCACCGTCATAAATTACAAAAACATTTCTGAAACTGAGGAACAGATTTATAATGGGATCATAAAACTGTCTGAGGGAGAATAATTATATGCACATCACATCAGTGCAAGGCTATCAAAACACAGTGTATGTGTAGGAAAAACGTTACGTCTGCACACTTACTCCATGCCACAAAATTTTAATCAAGACGTTTTAATCCTACTCAGGTCAAAATGTCATCTTCATAAGACTGATTAGCACCCTGCCCCACAAAGGCAAACAGGAGGAACTGCTCTTGTGTGCTTAAATTATTCACCAACTGGATTTTGTGTGTTTTTACCAGAAAAAGTAGATAAAAGATGGGGCTTTTTGTTAGTTTCAGTTAGTTTGTTAGCAGTTTAGTTACCACACTTTGGCTTTGTAGGGCAATACAGGGATTTCTTCTACTTTTCACACTGCACATTCATATTTAACCCTGCACAACCTGCCTTAAAACCCAGAGCTCACTACTACAGATGTAGTACAAAACTGTATGTACAACACCTCTGGGCTGACAGATGACACAAACTTTCAAACCCAGAGTATAACCATGTTCAGTGAGGATGCAGTGTGAAAAGCACTTTGCAGTAATTCCTTTTTTTTGCAGCAAGACTGAGGGGTTGGGGGTGAGGGGTCACGATGCACACAGATTTAAGACACATCCACAGCAGCCCCCACCTCAGTTGTACTGAAGCCATCCTGGGTGGAGAGGAGCTAGGAGGAGGAGAAAAGAGCATACAAGGCAAGGTGTGTTATCGATGAGCCGCTGAAGTCAAAGGCCTCCTTGTTCTTTATAGTCGCTGATAAGCAGGAACAAAGTCGAGCAGCACTACTCTGTAAATCGAGCCCATCACTCATCTGTGTCTGCACAACCCTAAAAGCTTTTAAACCTCAGGAGGTGGCCGGGCGGAGACAGACTACGGACCTTGATATGGGAACAAGGTCAGAAAGTGTGTGTGTGTGTGAGAGAGGGAGAGAGAGTGTGCGTGTGTGTGCCTTTCCAGCTGAAATCTTTCCAGGGATGAGTTTATCACAAAGGTGAAAGCTCGGGTGAAACAAGATGTAAGCTTGCGAAAACAAACAACAACTACAGTTTAACAAGAGAGTCAGTTTCTTGTTTGCTTATACTATTAATGCACTAAAATATTAAGGACATTTCCATTCCACTTTATTGTTGTTTAAAAGCCAAAGTGAATCAAAGTGTTCCAGGCCAACAATAGTTATCAGTTGTAAGAAGGAAATGTGTTATTTTGGTTTTAAGCAGCCAAGCTTGTGAAAAAAAGTTAAGCACTTCAGAAGTTGAAGAAAAATATCCTCAACAGATCTTTGTGATATTTGAAGTGTGTGTGTGTTTTCCACATTTTTTCCATTATTTTTCTATTCTATTTCTATTCTACTATTTTTATTATTTTCCATTATTATTCCATTATGTAAAAAAACACAATTCAAGCATGTGTTAATGTTTTTTTACGATGGGATGCCATACCCATTTTGTATGGTATCCTGACTTAAGGATGACGACTTCATGACCTGTCCAATAATCAATACTTTATTATTCATGTGTGCATTAACCCTGACGTACGTTTTTCTCATCTGTGCCCTGGCGTGACTCCCACCACAGCTGCCTCTTCCTGTTGGCCGAGTTATTTGTTCTGTTTCCATCCAGATCTTCCTCCTCACACATATCGCCATCCTTGTCGTCCTGAAAAAACATAGATAGACAGTTTTGATGATACATATCTTTACCACCAGACTCTGCGCTCAGTCCGCTCTTGTGCAGCAACAGAGGTGATACTTTCAAGAATCACAGTTTTAATCAGCCTCTATTGGACAGTTTTAACAGTGTAGGAGTGCTTTATCTGAGGAGGAGCTGGGTGACCTTTTAAAAGAGGATGTGAGGTCATTTTACTGTAAATTATCAACATATACTACCATTGATTTTCTGTATTTTATTCACAACAGTCATCTTGGCAGCAACCAGGTGGCTAAGACGCCACTAAATACTTCAAATTACATTTTTTCTTTCTCACTTCACATTAGAAAGAAAATTCCACCTCCCTGTGTAGTCCTGTGTCTCGGGAATTTTTGAGCGTTATTATCTTCAAACAAGACAAATTATCAAAATAATATCATAATTAATGCCCTTGTTAAGTCTCTGATTTTCTGAATTAAACATCTCATTATTGGCTCTTAGATGGCTCTATTTGTGTGTGTAGCGTTGGCTATGGTACTAAATAAGTTTTCCTTACAGATTAAAAAATTGCAGTTGCACACTTATGGATGATGTTTATGAAACCAACATGATGATATTGTGTAATTGCTGTTTTTTCTTGTGTCTCATTTCTTTAATTGAATTCTTCTGGTTTCCAGTTTTTACTGCATTTGCAAATTACTGTTAAATAAACACAGACAATACACTACAAATCAAGCATTAAAATAATTGAGAAATTGTAACAGTACGTCCAGATTTTTCCTGTCTTTGTGACAAAGACGAGCTCCATCATCATCTGGCATCTTCACTATCGAACAAACCTGTCAGCTGCTGATTTATGTTGTAATCATGTTTTATTATTAGCGTCGTCTAAAGTGTAGGAGTAGGTGAAAACACACACACACACACACACACACACACACACACAGCCCTCTGTGGAGAAATCAATAATGCATATAGCCCCGCAGGTTTACAGGGAAGTATTGACCCCTCTATAAAAACACTAATCTATAACTCCATTACAGGACAGAGGAGCTGAGCCTGGAGCTCTGAGGTGAAGGAAGATGGGTTGAATTCAGGATTGAGGGTCTTCATGACATTTCATTGAGTTCCAGTTCAGTAGTGAAAGTTAAATTCATAGCAAACAAAGGTTAAGTCTTGAATAATGATTACATACTTCTTGGGCCAATCAGTTATGAGATACAGTAGTCTCCTGAAGGGTTGGTTCAACCAAAAGACAAAATACATTTTCTCATTTTGGTATTTAGTCATGCAGATAGTTTTGGTTTCTTTTTCCCAGGTTTTGATTTATCTGTCTCAGAAAATTTGCTGCCACACTAATACAATGGAGGTGAATGAAATTTCATTAATTAATGTTTACAATTTTTTTCTTGTTATTTATAAATAACACAATGGCATATATATGGGTACTTGTAGATTAGGAGGCAATATTCTGAGAAAAAAATAATTTCCAAGATTAAAGCTGTAAATTTACAAGGAAAAAAACTTTGAAATAAAAGTGGTAAATTTATGGGAAAAAAAGAAAAGGATAAGAAACAAAGTCAAATATTCTCTGACATTTTAAAATCATAAATTACTGAGAAAAAATGCCTTGAGCGATTTTTGCCAGAAAATCAGGTGACATAATATAAAGAGTGACAAAGTCAACATAGGGAGAAAGTCGTGTTGGATAAATGGGTAAAGCTCTGGACCCCTGTCACCCAGGGGACAGGGGATCATGTCCGCATCATGTCAGTCAATGCTAAGTTATTATCTTAAGACTTAATTGACTTAATATTTTTAGTATTTTGGATGCATAAAGCTGCTAAATGTACACCATAAACTTTAGCAGAACAGCTGAGGAGGCCAGTTTGTGTTAAGGTCATAGTTCAACGTTGCTAGGACATCCAGCTGATGGCCGAGTAAAATCCCAGACGTTGACAGCTTTTAGTTTGGAACTACTTTATGAACCATAACAGGACGTATTGATTGGATGTTCAACCAACGGTTTCAATGTCTCAATGTTGATTGCGATTCCCTGTTTACTGGCGGAGTTTGTGGTGTGATGAGGTTGAGCCCATCTTGCAAAGGGAAGCGAAGTGGTTTCTTCACAAAGAAACCGCTCTTCCAAATCTGTGACAATATCACCTCAAAGAACTAAAGAGTTTTGCATGCCCACAAAATGAGGCAACTTCCCACGCCAAAGTTGTGACCTATAAGGATAAACTTGATGGCAGAATGTGCGCACCTGTACGGAAACTCTGATCCATGCATATGAACATTTTGGAGACAGGGTAAAATGTAGAACCTCTTATAGGGGGTTCTGAGTGGAACCTTTCGTCTCACCTTTTAAATTGGGTTCTAGGTAGAGACCCCTGAAAGGGTTCCAGGTGAAACTTGATTAAAGGGTCTACCAGGAACTGAGTTCTCCTATACGGACAAGCCAAAGAACCCTACAGTATATGGGTTAGTACCTTTCTTTCTAAGAGTGTAGTATAAACCTTTATAGTAACAAACCTCAGTTTTGATTTAAAAGTAATATGAAATGATGTTTTAGATGAAGAGTGCATCGTCTTGCATCATTTGTAAACATCTGTACAACTGAGATGCATCATCGCTTCGCAAGTCATCAATTTTGGACCAGTGGTGTCTGAGTTGTTATGTAACAGTTAGATTTACTCCTTAAGAACATGGGGCCAAGATGCATCCTCCCTTCATGCTTTGTCAAAATTAGACCACCAGTGTCTCAGATAACACCTGAGCTGCAGTGGACACAACCAGCCAGTGATCGATCGTCCTGGAATCTTCCCTCAATACAGTTTCTCTGATCACGAGGCCACCTGGCTGCCCATTTAATTCAATCTGGTTCTATTTCAGTTCACTGTCTGGAATTTACTGAGGAGCCGTATGGAGGTGTCGTGTGCCGAGTTCAACTAAACAGCTCTGACACACACTGACTGCCTGCATCCACTCACGTTTACATCAACTTCAAATCCAGCATTCTCTAAACAGGAGCTCATTGAAGTTTAACTGCACAAAAAGTGTTAAATCACTCACTGATTTTTGAGAGACGACTGGTTATTTTATCCGGAGGTATTTACCTTTTCTGTTTTTTCTTGTCGCGTAACTTAATTGCTAAGTTGCATCTCCCATAAAAACGCATAATGCCCAGAGGGTAGATGTGAACTCGATGCATTTAGGTGAGAGGTGAAGAGAGTGATAGTGAAAACTGAATGGGAAAACATGAAGGATGCCTTGAGGTCACCAGGCATACTTGTCTATTGAAGCTACTGTCTCGTCAAAATGTATATTTCTTCCCCTGTGACCAATGAACATCACTCAAAAATCTAGACAGAGGTCCTTGCTCTATAATGGTAAATGAACCCAAAATTGATGATTTTTGATAGCTGAATTTTTGTCTTAGAAAAATCCTAATGTCTAACTTTGGTCATTTAGGTATAGGAACAAGAAAAAGACATTTCAAGACAACAAATAAGTCTAATAATGAACAATATAGTACAAATAATCAGAAAACAACAAAGTCAAAGTTTTAGGGTCTATTTGCCCTTTAAGACTACCTTTATAAAAACAAATCAGTGACATGATTTATTTTCATTCAGAATCATCTAATTGAATGGATTAACATGGCAAATTATTGACATGTTTTGCAATAAATGTCACAAAGCTGTTAACTAAGATGGTCTGGATTCATGTGCTTTCATTGTATTTCTGTCAGCTGTCCATACCGTCAACTGGTCGATGGGTTCTTGCAGCCAGAGGCGGATGAGCGTGGCCAGGGTGTAGTAGAGAATCAGCAGCATGATGGGACTGACAAAGTGATACCACTCACGGTCCGGGTGCACGATGAGCTTCCATGTGTAGGAGCAGTTGCTCTGAACAATGGGGGAGATGCCAAAAAAACTGCAGAGACAGACAGGCAGAGAGACAGACAGGTATATGAGGACAGTAACAGGCACTTTTACCAGGACTGAAGCTGTAAAATCAGGAACTTTGAGGATACATAAGCAGTAGACGACATTTTATAGAGATCTACAGAGTTATTGACCACAGGCAATGCTTGAAACATAGAGGTCAACATTAACAGTCATTCAGGTGTAAGGATATGATTTCGAGATCATCCATCTTTGTCTTGAGACAATACGTCTCTTTCATAGAGCTGCAACAATTTTTGTAGGTAATTAACCAATCAATCAAATGTCAAAAAATTAATCAGCTTTTTAGATGGGTATTTCTGCATTATTTGATAGTGAGAGAAAGAGAGACAGAGAGGGAGAGGGGGGGGGTGACATGCAGCAAAAGACCTGGGCCTGACTCAAACGTGGGCCTTTGCAGTAAGGACTCAGCATTAATGTATGGGTCCATACTGACAGGGCGCAAGTCAAATTCAATGACCCTTAAGTACTTTTTCAAGCGCTAGCAAAACATCCTGGGGCTTACTATTTACTGGTGTTTACCAACCTGCTCAGAGCTCAAAATACATTAGAAATTAAATGCAAGCACAGCAGTTCTCTGCCTACTAGGTTTTTTTTTCTAACACATTTCTTAAAATGATTTATCATTCTGTTCTCTCAATTTTATTCAAGTACTTGAAAAATTAAACGATAATCTATGGTGTTCCAGTACCTAAATTTCTGAGTGCCAGATTCAAGTATTTTAGGCACCTGAAGCACCTTTTGTGAACCCTCATAGACAGCGATTTTCATAATCAATAAATCGTTTAAGCTGTTTTGAATGTAAAAAGTCAAACATTTGATGGCTCCAGATTCTTAAATTGTAAGAAATACTTGCTTTTCTTAGTGTTACATTATAATAAATTGAATCTTTGTGAGGTTTGGAATGTTGGTTGGACAGAACAAGAACAATGTAAGACATTACATTTGGCATTTCTCACTGTTTTCTGATGCGACCAAGCGATTGATCAAGTAAACAATTGGGAGAATAACCACTGATGAAATGAATTGTTAGTTCAACTCTCCTCTCTTTGTCTTGTAGTTATACTCTCTTTCTTAGCTAATGAGGTCGCTTCAGAATTTGATTGTGACACAAAAGTAGAACCTTTGTTGCTTAGATCGTCCTTGGAGGCAAATTTATGATATGACTTAAATCTGCAGCTAAGAAAAATAGATTGGCTTTCTTGAATTACGTCCTCTTTAAACAACCATCAGACAAGCAAAGGTGGATGAATACTCATCCTTAAATCTTCTGTGAACTGGCCCCAAAGTCGTCAGTCAGTGGACTGGACTGATCTCATTGAGATAAGTGTATTGTTGAATTGATTACACTCAATTCGGTGTAGAAGGCCTTGGGTTCTCCATCTTTAAAACTAATTATCGATTCCAGAAACAAAGCCAGGATGGATGAGGTGATGCAAACGTAACAAAAGATTGTGGGAACTGCAGAGTCATGCTGTCTTAGCTGGGTGGCCTGTACACTAAAAAGGAAAAAGATGATCCGCACACCGATAGAGCTCCCATTAATCCATTTATTTTCTGTCAAGTGAAGTTTCGAGCAATGTAGGCTCTTCCTCAGACTTGTAATAAGATACAACCAGAAACGCCATCTTTAAATACCCACCGTGATCAGTGAGATGAATCACAGCTGTGTGTAAACCAGACATATAAAAAAATGAAAAAATACAGACAAAGATGTATTCATATAAATGTGTGTGCATGTGTAGATCCCCTTTGCCGAAACATAAATTGAAAACGTTGCACTGCTCTTTCATTTCTGTTGAGCAACACTCTTCAGAAGTGTTGAGCGCCCAACCATAAATCAGGTTAAGGGGACACACAAATGCTAAATACTATCAGACCACTTTGTTTTGCTAGTTTAAACCTCCTTGAATGATCAGATTAAGAAAATTCTCACCATCTCAGGAGGTGTTTCAGGCATCTAATAGGGATGCCTCCTGTGTGTCTCCCTTCGGAAGTTTTCTGGACATATCCAACAGGTAGATGAATGCTGGGTAGACCCAGAATACACTGAAGAATACACTCATCTGTCTTGGGAAGGCCCCGGGATCCCCCAGGAGGAGCTAGAATATGTTGTCAGGCAGAGGGATGTCTGGACTACCTTACTTAGTAGTCAAGCACCTTGGATATATGTCTGAAAATTGATGCATGGATGGAGCTGAGGGAAAGACTAATTTTGCTATAGTTTAGTTGATTGTTTTTATAATCTAAAGGATTCGTTGTAATTTCCAGGGTAATTCTTAAAAGTTTGAAGAGTTTGATGTCCTTAATAGGTGGTTTGTACTATGATCAAGCAAAGTCCAATATACACTGGAAATATCAATGGGGAAAATACACTGTCAAGCAACTAAGTAAGTGTAGAAAAGTAAGTTGCATCAAACAGTGTTAAAGTATCTCACAGTTGTCTTGCCCTGATGTAGTCTCTGACTTTCTGCTTGAGGACATTCCTGTAAAGAGAATTTCCTTCCATGCTCTAACCTTGGAATCTGAAACAAAAATTCTGTTTGTCCCACAAAGGATGCTGTATGATTCACTCCTCTTCCTTTTAACAGAACAAAGATCATCTCCTCAACAGGAAGTGCACTGACGTATACCAGTGACAACCACACAGATTTAGATGCCCTCCGAGTCTTCTCTGTTTATACCATGTGGAAGAGTGAACACTCCCCTATGACCCCATCACACTTCCTGAACGGTTTCTTGTTGTAGCTGGGGAAGGCCCACTGGTCACATGACTGGGGACTTCCATTGTAAGGAGGGGAGGCAGGAAGTGGAGTGGAAGCTAGACCTCTCAATAGCCTCACTCAACACTGGGCCAACAGCAAGGCCAAGTCAACTGTCAGCAAGCACAATTAGGGCAGGCACTGAGGTGGCCTATTGTCCAATGGGAGCTGCACATATTTACGTCCGTAAGAGTTTCCCTTAGTTTGCCTGCGAGTGTACAGAGAGGAAACAGGCCAGATCAGGGGAGAGCGTGTTACTTTTATCATCACATTGGACCTCAGTTTTCATGCAGCGGCAGACAGAAATACCTCAGTGCTGTGGAAAGTCAACATGGAAGCACGCGGAGACAGCACATGATAAAATAGTTGGCCTGTTAGTGTGAAGAGCTATCAAAGAAGAATCAGGGCCATGGTAAACTTTCCAAATTTAGGACTTCAAATACACAAATGAAAAGCTGTTTAAAAATAATGACACCCACTCTCCCATATTTACTGCTGGAAAGTAAATGCAGCAACTTTACAAGTTAGTATCAAAGCAAAGAGTCAACTTTAGCTTTTTTCTGTAATATTTATGTAACCAAGTAGTTTGGGTTAGTAGTTCTCAACATGTTGACCTTAAAATTAAGCAATGTGCATTTGTGACCTCTTTTCAAAGGTCATGACCTCAGTATAATGATGGATCTTGAGCAGCGATTTGTCGTTATTTTGTCTCATTCAAAGCTCCTTTGATTTTTAGTTTTATTTTCCTAACTTTAAGTAATATTAGATCAGATATCAGAGGCCTGAAGGGGTAAAATATCTCTAGTCCACCCATGACCCTTAAGAGGATAAGCAGTTACAGAGAATGAATGAATGAATATTATTAGAGGCCCAAAGAGATAAAAGTATTCCCTAGCTTTAAGGGTTTTTAGAGGACAGAAGAGGTAAAAATATCTAGAACTTTAATAGCTTTAAGGGGTTTTAGAGGACAGAAGAGGTAAAGGTGTCCAGCACTTTAATAGCTTTAAGGCTTTCTAGAGGCCTTTAGAGATAAAAGTAACAAGTATTTTAATAGCTTTAAGGCTTTCTAGAGGCCTGAAGAAGTAAAAGTATCCAGTATCTTCCAACTTCAAATATTTCTAGAGGCTCGAAGAGGTGAAAGTGTTGTGTATTTCCCTAGCTTTAAGGATTTTTAGAGACCTAAACAGGTAAAAGCTTTTTAGAAGCCTGAGGAGGTAAAAGCATCCACTATTTAAATAGCTTTAAGGGATTTCAGAGGACAGAAGAGGTGCAAGTATCCAGTATTTCAATAGCTTTTACTAGCTTTAAAAGTTTTCATAGGCCTGTTGAGGTAAAAGTATCATGTTTTTTTAATAGCTTTAAGGGTTTTTTGAGGACAGAGGAGGTAAAAGTATCCAGTATCTTACTAGCTTCATGGAGACTTAGAAGACAAGGGAATTTCCAGTATTTTACTGGCTTTGAGGGTTTTAAGAGGACAGAAGAGGTAAAAGTATCCAGTATTAGTATCCAGTACAGGTACTCCTACTGTATTTCTACTACAACATGTACAGTCTAAACAGACTATTACTGCCTGTGCAGATGGTTTGAGAGGGGTCCATTTATTCTAATGAGTTTTCTAACAAGAAGTCTGTCAATGCAGCACTGTAATCACACCTTATCTGCTATCTGAACCAGATGTGGGATGGAGAGGACACAAGGTTTGTCCAAGGCAGCTTTAGCTATACATAGCTGTAAATAGCCTTGGTCCTAACACACAGCAACACAGCTTTCAAATGAGAAACTGTGAGATCAATACAACCCTGCAACACCAAGGGCACAGAGACAGCAGCTAAAGTAAGACAACAGCTACAATGAGACAACAGCTACAGTAAGACAGCAGCTACAGTGAGACAACAGCTTCAGTGCTGCTGGTCAGGTTTAAAAGACGCAGTAATTAAAAGATTCAGATGCTGCAAGTTACTGGAACTACAGAGCAACAACATGGTGTATATCATGTGTATCATACAGAATATACTGCTTAACATTTTATAGTCTTGTGTTTTAGCTGTTTGCATCCGACTGAATATTTGTTTGGAAGGAAACCATTGTACTTTTCCTCGTACTGTAGATATAATACAATATGTTGTGTGAATTGTTGCTTTTGACAAAGCAGTTTTTAGCCCCATTTAGATTGCTGGTTGAGTGACAGCATTTCTCAAAACTGTCTCATAAGAGTTCAATGACATTTGGTGGAAAGTTAGACCACTGACTGATGAACATGCTCATAAAACATACTTTGGATCCAGACATTTTTTAAAGTATTAAATAAAGGGCATTACGGTAGTTGAGGCCTGGGAGCCTTAATTGTATGCTTGCCTCATTGCATGTTACTGTCTGTACTGTCTTATAATGTAATAATGTTTGGCGGGGCTTCTTTCTTTAACATTTTTGTACATTACATTTTACATTATTACAATTTCCTCATGAACATACTGTACATGTAACCAATTTTGGTTATCATGATGTGTATTTTAATTCTTATTCACAGCCAAATGGAGATTAAATATTTTCTAACATTACATTATTTATATATACTACTATAATAACACAAGTTTTATTACTGCTCTTGATGCCATAATGTCTCAGTGACACTTGCATGGTAAAATAAAGGATAAAAATTGTACATTTATCAGTAAAAGAAAAAAGAAATTTATGATTTGTTATTTTTTGAACTCTCCTCTGCTCCTGCTGTGGTAGAAAATCTTTTTTTTTTTCAAACTTCTATGATGGTGGCCTAAATGTGTATTTCTTAGTAATTAGTAAATAAACAGCATTCTTTGCATTCCAGGTTGTCAGTCAAACACAATGAGCTTAGTGACTCGAGGTACTTTCAGCCACAGAGTTTCTATTTATTACAGCTGTGTGACTAACGTATGTTGGCAAGATGTGCAACGATGTGGCTTTACTCCAACCACAATGTTTCACTGCCGCAGCCACAGACAGCTGATTGTCTCCTTTCTCATGCATAATAAAACAACACTGGTTGTAGTGAAGTGCCTAAAAGCTCTGCTTCTGATATTGATGTGCTGTGAGTAGGAGTTTGATATATCTCCCCTCCAGCTGGGTTTGCCTTTTCCTTTGCCTTCTTGTTTGCAACAATAGTAAATATTTATTATCGTTTAAACAAACTTGCGGCGGGCGCAATAAATATCGTCGAGTCAAAGGAGCTCTGGCTGCTGAGCGCTGTCATCACATTATGTATTTTCACATTAGTAAGGAGCCAGACAGCATTAGTATGGGCTTGTGCTGTCTAACCAGAGAAATACCATTTCAACAATTCATCAGAGAGAGAGGAGATCTAATGTTGGTAAGTTTAACTTTCTCTAGATTGAGGCATCACTCACTGCTGTTTGGGAGACGGTTTGTATTTTGTTCTTAAGGTCTGAGTCATCTCATCCTGTGGGCAGAATGGCCGTCAAGTTTAAATCAGGAAAATAATCCAAATCTATTGCATCCCAATAAGCAGAGAGACATTTTTTTTTGACATAGACAGTGTTTAAACTAAGGTAACACACAGGACTCTGTCAGTGACTCGATGCTGGGTCTGTTTTTCTGGATATTAACTCAACATGTGTCTGACCTGATGTAGCTGTCGCCCGGTGGGATGGCCTCCTGGAAGAACTGGAACTGGTAGAGGTAGAGGACAATGAGGTGTCCAGCGCTAAAGATGGCCATCAGGACGCACATGCAGCTGAAGATGAGAGTGTCAAAGGTCCGACAGAGGGACCACCAGGTGCAGAGGAACAGGAAGATGAAGAAGTAGACAGCCGAGGTCAGTGAGGGCAGCATGACTCCTTCAAAGACAAAAAGTGGATATGAAGTCAAGGGACTGTGGTTCACATATGTGATCAGGATAATTATTAATTATCAGCCTTCCTAAATTTCCAAAATCTTATGGCAGTTTTGTTGAATGTGACAAACCTCACATCTCTCTGCAGCCTTACTACAACCAAAAGCACAACTTAAAGCAGTCTGAAGTTACCATTATTGTTTTATAGTCACTGAAAACAGCGTGTGTGTGTTGTGTTCAAGAGCCTGTGGAAAACTGTGAGGAAAACATCTGTATTTCACATCTGCAGTCTCAAAATCAAACCCACACAACAATTAAGGAGCAAACTTTATGAACAAGATAATGGGACTTTCATTTCTTTCTTAAAATGGTTCTTCTAAATTACAGCAGCTGACTCTCTCAACAAAATTTAAAACATAAATATTTTTCCTCTTACCTGTGGTGCTATTTATCCATCTAGATTGTTTTGATGCGAGTTGCCGGCTGTTGGAGATATCAGCTGCTGATGGAACTAAATGGCCAATACCTCCAATACTCAGCAACTTTCACCAAAGACAACTTACATTGATAAATAGCATTACAGCTATGAAAAACAATATGTATTCATGATTTCGGTTTGAACTGTTCCTTTAAATTTTTAGATGGTAATGTTATAAGATCAAGACACAGATTAACTGCACAGCATCCAAAGCTGCTCACCTGTCATGCCCAACAAGATGGTGACTACCACCTTCCCCGCAGTGGTGATCAAGTTCCCAATAATCTCCTTCACTTTGGACGCAACTTGCGCCACAAACCGCAGGATCTTCATCTTGGTGCTCTCCTTCTCCTCTTCCTCTTCCTCCTCCTCCTCTTCCTCCTCGTACAGCTCCTCCTCCTCCTCCTCTTCATCCTCCTCTGCCTCATACCCTGCTTCAAAGTCCTCCTCGAGCAGGATGTTGTCGTCCAGGCTCAGCTTCTCCTCTTCTTCCTTACGGGGGACAGATCACAGCGACATGTTATACTTCAGTATTGAATGATGGATGGTGCCATTTGGAGGTCAGAGCTCTCCATGGTGCTGAAAACAGTTTCCTACAGGTAGCACTTGCATAACAATCCCTGTGTAAACTCCACTTTAGAATATTTAAACATATATGTGGTTTCTTTGGCTGCTTAAAATATGATTAGCGACCCATGGCAGATGTTTCCCTCTGGAACCACATGTTGGCTTGAGATCTAATCCAGTCACTTCTTTCTTGGCTGCTGTGTCTAACCAAGTATGTGTCGCTCTTTTCCTACAGTCTCAATAAAATAGAGACATAATAACAAGAGAGCCATTCACTGCGATTTACATAGCACACATATAAGGCAGTAGACAAAGAAATAGCAGGTGGTGCGAAGCCTGTTTTGAATCAAACAACAATTTCAGCTCAGATGGCTCACTGACGGAAATAAAAGCCTGAACACAACGCAGGCTCTATAGATGAATTCCTGGTGTTTCTCAGTAATGGGGAGCGGTGCCATCTGTGCCAGCGTGAGCAGCACAGTCGAAGTGAAAGTGAATGTGGATTTAATTAACACTAAGTCATAAAGAGGAGGGAGGACTTGCCAGGGGAGGGGGGCTGTATTCCAAGTCATCAACACTCACAGGGAACTCTCTATTCAAATTCTGCTTCTCTCAACTTATGAAGCCCGGTGTGGACGTTACGTACAGAGCAGGAGAAAAAACTACTGGCCACCTCAGCCACTAAGTGAAAACTATTTTATATCTGACCAGGTATGAGTCCCAAAAGGTTACACTTTTTGTTTGCATACGTTAAATATCAGTGAACACACAAAAGACGTTTTTGGACTGGAGGAACTTTTTCCTAGTTCTAAGGACTAAGTTGTAGGAAACCCCTTTTTTGTTGAGCCACACCGCAAGAACTAGGAACTCCTGTAGCTGTTAAAATGCAGCTTTGAGGGACTTTTTAGCCCCTATTTAAAAGTAGCTACTCTCCCCCTACAACAGGGAACCATTAGTGACTTAAGTGTACAGTGATTGGTCCAGACCTCGTAAGTGTACGTTGTTCGCTCGAACACAGCCAATGCAGCACGAGCAACCACCATTTTTAAAAGCCCCAAAATCTAAAATCAGCTTGTGTAAAGATGTTTACATTGGGATTTTCTTTTTATATTAAAAAAGACAATTTTTACCTCTTCGGGTTAACTTTATGGACTTTTTTTTTTTTAGATGTTTATCCCACTACACACCCTATATCCATATCTTCATATACTTGTCTACTCTAAATTAGGGCTGAAAGTCAGTTTATCTCCAAGGCCAGCTGTTTGCAAACTTTTAAATACCACAATACCCTCTCATCATGATTTCTTTTTACATGGCATCCCCTTTTGGCTGCTCTCCAATGCTTTTTCCAACAATCAACACTTCTGGCTGCTTTACACCTGGGAAACTCACATGCAGGAATTGTGTTAGCTTACTGCCAACCACTAACCGAGAGCTGTCATGTCACTAATTTTAGGTACAGCATAAATGCATATTTAACAAGGGTTTATACACATTTAAAGTCTAGCTAATGTAAGCAAATGTTGCTTATAGTCCTATGTGGTAAAAGGTTATCCATCAATCCTTACAGGAGCTGTATATGGCATTCAGAGCATTAGTATAGCAGCAGATAAATATCTGCTATATGAGTAAAGGCATCCTAAACAGGGAATGGAGTCACGCTCCCCCTGTGTGTGTTGTAATCACAGATGTATAAATGAAAGTTGCTCAATAGCACATGAACAAAAAAAAGGTTCTGCTCCCGTTCCAGGTATAAAAGTACCTGGATCCTCCGCATCCTCAGGCCCATAGAACATGTGCACTGCATTTCCTTTAACTCTGTTTCTCAAATGTTTGGTCTCAGGCTTGCTCACATGAATGACAATAGATAAATAATTCTGGACTTGGCTTTTAGTAAATGTTACATCTTTTAGAACATAATGATTCAGTAAGTTAATAAGGAAATTGATGTACTTCAAAAAAAAAATCTAACTGGAATTCACCAGTTTGGCCACTGTGTCGAATTATCTTTGAAGCCTGGCGCTGTTCCTGTGTGCTTGGTTGTAATCTGAGCTTCTCTGTTGTGTGTTGTGGTAGACTGTCTGGTAACACATGGATGTTAGTGCATGTAAGTCCCTGTGAATGTATCCCTCTGGTTAGCTCATTGCCACTGCTCTGTAGTGGTTACAGCTGATAACACCACCCCAACCCGATCTCAGCACAGAAGCCTAACACCACTCCTTGGTTCCCTAGCTTAACACCATTCTGTCAGCTCTCTTGGCATCGTTAGCGCTGTCAACACTGTTAGCATCATTAGCTGCTAGCCACTGGTTCAGCCGAGAGCCGTGTGCACACAACATAAACCAGACTTTGAATCATAGCTGTGCTCTGAGTGTTTATACAGCTCCTTTCAGGCCTATAACTTTCTTAGAAATGTTGTTAATTGACAAATCAAAATTTGAGATAATTTATCAAAGAAAAATAATACAACAAAATGTGTTTCACAATTTTTGCACAGTTCTTAAACAATTGATAAAAAAAAGAAATATGGACAGATAAATTGATAAAAAAAATCAACATTAGTTGCAGCCTCACTTTAAATACAACTAACTGTGCTCTATTACTAATAAACAAGCCATTTCATTCACATAGATGGATACATGGATGTGAAAATCAGACACTGTTTCAAGGCATTGCATGTCATCACAAATTAAACCCACTTGTTCTTCTGCTTCAAAGTCGGCGTTGTATTGGGCCATGTCCTCAGGCGGCCTCTTTTGGACCAGACTGCGACACAGCAGCCAGATGGCCAAGCCAGCCACGAACATGCCGATGTCAGGGATGAACACTCGAATGCCATTTCCTGCATCTGCACCAATCACACTGGGGACAAACACAAAACACAGGATGCCACACTGACAGAACACAGACACTTGCTTCCTCAAAGTAAGGATAAATCCTACCATCTCCCAAAATTGCGATTTGGAGCAGTCTTACAGGCTAGGACAGAGTACAACAAACTTAATTGTCCATGGACGATCACTTCTAATGTGAAACAGTTTTTCTAGGAAACCAGAAACTTGAGGTTGCTTGTTTAGTTCACTTGGATGAAGCCTACAAATAACTGTGCTGTCGTGTCTGAATCTGGCCTGGGTTATTTGTCGCATGCCACCACCCTCTGTCTTTCCCAATCTGTTAGGGCTCTCTGACTGTTTAAAAAAATCGTTCAGCAATCTTAAAAAAAAGCTTGAGGTTGTCACTGAGCACTATTTTCCTTTAATCTGTGGTCATGTTCACTGCACTAAAACCCATGAGAACGGATATTACTACGGCAATTATATCTTTCAGAAAACACTACCTGTTCACATGAATGCATGGGAATCTGGATTCTCTCCATTACTCAACTGTTCGTTTAATGTGCCGTGTTGAATTCTTCAGCTTTTATATGGAGTACCACCCACTTTAATGAAATCAGGCTTGCTTTTAAACATATTGCTGTTAACAAGTGGGTGAAATTCCATTCAAACAAAAAGGCCATGAGAGAGTGTGTGGTTTTTTTTAAGCGTAACAAACATTACACCCTTGAAAATTGCAGCCTTTGTTCATATTAAGGCGGTGTGAGCAATAAGCTCTCTTTTCCCTCATTAAACTGCATTAAATAAAGTAAAAAGGGCCGAAACTACTTAAGCCTTTTCAGATTTAATTTGTTTCTTGAGGTATGATGATGCCTATCTACTTCTTATCTGACACTATCTGAATTCTTCTTAAACTAAACACCGTGTTCATATTATAATAGTTTATGAACAAATAATATTTACTCCATGTCTGCTCCATACAGTGTGTTTTTCATTTATCGACTGAAATATGACATTGTTTGATGTCTTGTGGTTATATTGTCGTGAGCAAACAAAGCTTTTGTATCATTTATTATTTGATTAGTCTGCTCACCGCTAAATAAATACCAAAAGGGTTGTTCAAACAGGAAGCTAAACAGTGGTGGCTGACTGTTACCATGACAGCTACAGTAACGTCAGGCTTCAAATGATCCAGTCAGTTGTATTTATGCTGCCCAAGGACACGTTTTATGAGGTGTCATGATTGCATGTACAATTAAAGCAAATAAAAATTGTCCTTGAAATGGCTAGCAGCTTTCAAAACCTTTAAAACTCACTTTTATCATCCAAACCAATTTCTATTTCAGTTTTACAACAATCACACACGCATCCTGTGTTTGGCCACCAAAGTGCTTTCTTTACATTTCATGCTGAGCTCCAGGTGTAATTACACTGTTCACAATAAACAAAACATAGTGGTGATCCTGCGGCGCAGGCTGCAGAGAAAAAAGCTGACCAAATGTTTGGATCGAGTTATAAAACAACTGGTCATTTTAAACAGAACCAATCTTATTCTGGCCTTCAATGGATACAAAGCTTATAAATGTTAACAAGTTGAAAACAGAGTGCTAATCAACACAATGGAAAACACACACTCAGATAAATAGCTGGACCTTTGGCTGCTGTTGGCGAGTTTAATCTAATCAAGGACTTCTGTTACCATGTGCTTTATTGTTGCGAAGCTTCGTGCATCCTCACGTGGATGAAAGAGATGGAAACCATCAGAGCCAGACAAGATTTAGCCGGAGTAATTACTCATGAGGCATCAGTGAAAAACTACAATTACAGAGACCACAAAATATGCTCTAAACCATATAAATATTTGGAATTTATAAAGGCTTTGAAAAGGTCAAGCTTGAGGAAACCAAAGGAACTGTCTGGGTGAAAAGACACAACAGCTGTGAATTGTCTTTCTACTTCTATACATCTGGCTTGAACTCTGCATTTTCCTCCATACAGGCCGTAAAAGAGAGAAAGCATCAGCCAGTGTGGCTGTAAATATCGTATATGTATCGTATACTGTATATGATCCCCAACACAAACAGGTAAATGCAGGCAGGATAAAATGTTTACAGCTCTACTTCCGCCACTTACAGTATACTATCCACCGAGGGCTGTTGAGTACTGGAAAAAGGATGTGGCTGAGTTTGGACATTCCCGTACTTAGAAAACCACATCTAACACGATCACGGGGGTGTGAGGAGACGGACACAGCAGCAAAAGCTCTGAAAAATAGGCCTGTCAACTGAATGTCAGACGTAACTGGGTTTAGCGTTCATCAAGAATCCACACAGGGACAGGTTAGGAGCATTTTTAAACCTTGTCAGATGACGGGTCAGTGCTGCTAAATACAAAAAGTGGTGTTTAATGTTATTGTGGGATTGCTATATTTAGGACACTTTGTGCAGATGATGCAACCCTCTTCAGAGGAGGAGAACCACACGTCTGATCTTTAACAGGTGAGATTAAAAAATGGTTGTGATTCTTAATAAAAAAGGCAATTTTCCTTTAAAACAAAAATAAGCATGTTGCATAAAGTAAAGTTGTTTTATTGCTGACCCTCTCTTTCATCAGCAAATAGTCACTGAACTGAGTCACTTCCTGAAGAGGCATCTGGATCTCCCAACTGGGAGACATATTCATGCTCAGTTAAACAAAATCCCCACTTGTATATTTTATATTGCATAATCATCAAGGGAAACATGATTTAGAAACAGTTTTTACTTTCCATATGTTACATTAGTGAATGCATTTGTTGTGAAAGTGTTGAATTAATCATTATCTTACCTCTCAAAGCCAATTTGTCTTATGGATTTCTCCCACGTGGAACCTGGACAAAATCATAAAGTTAGTTAGTCGAGATTGATATTGTTGGGCAAAGAAATAATACACTTTTATATCATAACCATTAAAAACAAATGGGGACATTACAAATCATCAAAAAAAAGGTAAAGGATTTCCACTGTATCCAGAAATAATTGCTATTTATTATTCACTATCCAAATAATAGAAAGAATGAAGATCTTTTTCAGCCTTGGACAAAACCATGAATAAAAACTTAAAATGCCTGCTTTAAATCAATTGTAACGGCCAGAGTATTTTTTTCATTTCAGCCAATATTTCATTTTCAGGTGAAGGAAAACAATCAATCTCTGTGCTCACAGAGAAAATAAAAACATCTCATGTGAGCTTTGTTTCCACAGCTTGGACTGGTTGAAGTGTTCCTGAACGTCACTCCAGTGCTCAGAGAGAGATTTCCAGGTATTCAACTGGCACGCTGAGAAGAACCGCTGGAGATTGACTTGCCTTTGTTCTACTGCCAGAGAAAACATAACATCAGTTTGTGACTTGAGGATCTCGACTCAATGACATTTTTTTGTCTGTGTATAAGGCAACTAATTAGGTGGTGAACTGCTGCAGTGCTGAAGTTTCTGGTTTATGGAGCGCAGTGAGGAGAGTGAAGACGTTAAAACACACTTCAAGTGACTGTAACTCAAGGCAGACAGCAGACACAAGGACTTTATCTGCTGTGTCAACTGTGTGAAAACTACTTTCAGGAGGTTGTTAAGTGTAAAATATGTTTTTGCAGCAATTCTTGTTAAAATAGAGTATGAAATGTTCAATTCTAAAGTAGAAAGAAAAGAAAAGAAAAAACAAAGGCAGAAAACTAAACCATTACTTGTGGGGTGATGGTTTATATCTCTAAAAAAGATTCAGGCTATAACAAATACTTTTTAGAACCTGCTAGCTAAAGTGCTAAGCGTTAAAAAGTACCATTAATCTTTTGCAATTGTGGGTGCTACTTTTTAAAACATAGGTGTCACTTTGGATTAAGGTTTGTCATAGATGATGAGGACATCCCAACAATTAGGGAAAAGTCAGTAAAGAGCTTAGGTAGGTGGTACAATGTAGAGTTGAATGATAAGGAACAGGTGGTGAAATTTAGAAAAGATGTGGCTGAAGGATTGGATAGAATAGATAAATCAGAACTTCCAGGAAAGTTGAAGTTGTGGTGTTTGCAATTTGGGCTATATCCTAGGTTAATGTGGCCATTGTCAGTTTATGAAATTCCAATATCTGTTGTGGAGAGAATGGAAAGGTCGGTTAGCTCCTACATTAGGAAGTGGTTGGGCGCTCCTAGGTGCCTAAGTAGTGTTGCATTGTATGGAAAAGGGATACTTCAGCTGCCAGTATCTAGTTTAACAGAGGAATTTAAATGTACCAAGGTCAGGACAGAGCTCTTGTTATCTGGGAGTAAGGACGTGGTAGTTAGGAGTGTGGTTCCAAATCCAACCAAGGGGAGGAAGTGGAACCCAAGATCGGCAGTTCAGGAGGCAGAGGCAGCTCTTAGACATGCAGAGATTGTAGGTAATGTTCAGTTTGGCCGGGGAGGCCTGGGGCTTGGCTCAGGTAAACCGGTATGGAATACAGCAGGCCTCAAAGATAAAAGAAAGCTGGTTGTAGAACAGATACGCAGACAGGAAGAGATAGTAAGGGGTGCAAAGGTAGTGGCCCAGGCTAAACAGGGACAGTGGTTGAATTGGGAAAGTGTAGAGAAGAGGAAGCTTAGTTGGAGGGACCTGTGGAGTATGGAGGAGAATCGTATTAGATTCCTGGTAGGGGCTACATACGATGTGTTACCAACCCCCCAGAACCTAAAACTGTGGGTAAATGAGGACCCATCATGCCCATTGTGTTCACGTACCGCAACTTTAAAGCATATTTTGTCAGGCTGTAAAGTTAGCTTGTCACAAGGCCGATATACATGGCGACATAATCAGGTGTTGAAATGTTTAGCTGCAGGCATCGAAGGGAAACGAAGACAGGTGAATTCAGAAGGTGTTAAGGATAGGGGCTTAGTAATTCAGTTTGTCCGTGAGGGAGAGAAATACAGAAGGGATAAGTTAGTGAGGAGGCAAGGGTGTGGCCGCCTAGAAGGTGCTTGTGATTGGGAAATGCAAGTAGATTTAGGGGGAAAGCTTGTTGTTCCTCAGGAAATAGTCTGTACCAGGCAGAGGCCTGACTTAGTGTTGTGGTCAGTGAGTCAACAGATAGTTTATTTCATTGAGCTGACAGTTCCTTGGGAAGACTCAGTGGAAGAAGCCTATGAAAGAAAAAAGCTTAGATATGCAGACTTAGGAGCAGAAGCTGAGCAGCGAGGATGGAAGACTAGGATTTGTCCAGTGGAAGTGGGGTGTAGGGGATTCATAGCAAGATCAACTGTCTCACTCCTGGGGGAACTCGGAGTGCGGGGACAGAATTTGAGGAAGACAGTGAGGGAAATGTCAGATGAAGCAATTAAATGCAGCCAGTTTATCTATTACAGAAGAAATAATGTCAGCTGGGGGCCAGCAGGGGGAACTACTAAGCAGGGCACATAACTCCTTGAGATCAGGTGGAGAGATCCACTTCCTGTCAGGAGAAATCCAGGAAGAGGAAGTATTTAAGTGTGGGAGTGGCCTATTGGAATCCATTTTGTTTGAGGCCATGCGGCAAGGTGAGTGTGCTTGCTGATCCTGTAAGTCCAGTTAGCTCCTTTAACTTTAGCTTATATTGTAGTTATGCTATGTAGTGTGTGAAATAGAGTATGGTGAATGTGACAGGAAAGCTAGTATCAGCATTGCTTCTGCCTGGAGCTCGCATGTATGGAGCCTGGGTTTGGTTGAAGATGGCAGTGCTGTTTGGGCTGAGAAAGCCATGTGTAAGTAAGAAGGAAATCCAGGAAGAGGAAGGTTATTTAAGTGTGGGAGTGGCCTATTTGAATCCATTTTGTTTGAGACCATGCTGCAAAGTGAGTGTGTTTGCTGATCCTGTGAGTTCATTTATCTCCTTTAACTTTAGCTTACATTGTAGTTATGCTATGTAGCGTGTGAAATAGAGTATGGTGAATGTGCTAGTAAAGGTAGTATCAGCATTGCTTCTGCCTGGAGCTCGCATAAACGGAGCCTGGGCTTGGTTGAAGTTGGCAGTGCTGTTTGGGCTGAGATCACTGTCCAGCCTCCTGGAGGTGTCATTGTTGTGAGGGCTCGTCCTGGGGAGGTAGACTGTACAGCCTAACCCGGCGGGGGAGTGTGATAGCCTAACAAGGCTTCCTTCCCTGGGTCTACCTCCTCTGTGGTAGTATAGGTAAGGTAAAGGAGGTTGTTCGGTTAGTGTGGGGAGCAGTGAGACCTGGCATTAGGGGAGTGTCTCTGGGACGCCAGAGATCACTGTCTAGCCTCCTGGAGGTGTCGTGGGACTAACTAGACGAAACACCGGTGAAAGGAGGTTCCCACCCGATGACCCCAAAGACATGTTAGTTATCACTGCTCACGGGTCTGTATAGTTAAGCCTTGCCATAATAGCTTATCGTAGGGCTTAGGAGGATTATTCACTGAGTGCTGATCCCTTTTTTTTTTTTTTTTTTTTTATTAGAGCACAAACTTCTTGTGTTTATTTGAATTGAGGATAACAGATGACAGTGTAAAGCAGAAAACAACTGTCAAAAGATAAGACAGAAGATGAATAATAACGTGTTTTCTCCTAAATGACATACACACGAAGTATCCAGTAAAGGAATGAGTCACACTGTTAGGCACTTTGTTAGAAACAGGAAACTGAATTCCACTCAAGGTAAATACAGCAGTAATGGACTGTCAGTGCAAACCCTGTTTTTTCTTTATTACTCATCAGTGAATAAAATGGCTGAAAGAATAGCTTCACTATCACAGATGTTATGTGTTGTGCTGGTTGGGGTAGATGTAGAGGAGAAGAGTGTGGAGGTCGGTGGGTGAATGAAATCAAAAAGTAAATTAACAAAACATCTGTGATGGGAGGAGCCCGCATGACTAACCCCTGACATTAACCTCTGACACCAAACACCCACAGTCGTCCTCCTACTGAACTGTGAAGACACTAGGAGAAACTGTCCACCCCCACACATTTACTCCCATTTACTGCTCAGTGATGAAGGACAGACACTGCTGTAACTGACCAAACTATGATGCAACACATCACACATTTTAAAACCTCTTACAAATCAGTTATTCCTCTGTGGATAGAGATCTAGAGCTAAATGACATGGCCTAAAATCAATATCACAATCATGTTACAACTTTACCTCAATTTTCTTAAGGTCTTGGTAACACTTTTTTCTGACATCACAGAACTATATTGCGTATTGATAACAGTTAAGATTTACTGAATGATTTGCTGAAAACCGATGTCTTGAAGTATTGTAAATTAGGGTATTTTTATCTCATCATATTTCTACATATTAAAAATGATTTAGGGAAATTATTAATAGAAAAACAATCAGTATTCTTTACTCAATAAAGATGATAATGAAGAAGATACATGCTCTCATGTGGCACCTTTTTTAGGCACAATTGTTAAAACACATCCTATATAGCTGCTCTGCTTTGTTGTACAAAGTTGGATTCAGAGCATCACCTTTAAAGAGCGCTTTTTAAAGAAGAACAAGTCCTATACACCCAACTTTTATAAATATCATTTATCTGTTCTAAATAGCTCAAGATATACTATGCAGGATTTTTCATAATGTATAGACTCATACAAATCCCTCTCAATCATCAACTATGACCCACTAAAAGTGTGTGGTGGTGTGCTCATCTGCAGAGCCCGTGCCCTGTGCCTGTATTCTCTTTTTATTTTGCTGTGTTTGCGATATTTCTGGGGGTGTATCCACCAGCTAGTAACAGCACGCCGGTGAAGTCAGGACTTTCTAGAAAAGGTAGTGACAAGGTGACAGAATGTAACCAACACACATCCAAGAGGAAGCTTCAAAAATCGCATACACAGCACAGAAAAAATGCAAATATCGTGAGGCAA